GGATGAGGCTTTTAGTGCTCAGTATGGCTGAGGCTTTTAATGCTCAGCCTGGCTGAGACTTTGGACGGTCGGACTGGCCGAGGCTTCTGGTGCTCAGTCTGGCTGAGGCTTTTAATGCTCAGTCTGGCTGAGGCTTTTGACGATCGGACTGGCCGAGGCTTCTGGTGCTCAGTCTGGCTGAGGCTTTTGACGATCGGACTGGCCGAGGCTTTTGACGGTCGGACTGGCCGAGGCTTCTGGTGCTTAGTCTGGATGAGGCTTTTAGTGCTCAGTCAGGCTGAGGCTGTTAATAAATGCTGCAAATGAGAATGTTATTGAGACAACACACAGATAGCTAAGATATAAAATTGTTGTACTGGACAGTGTAGTCCAGTCGATCAAAGTTTACATTATGCATCAAAAAGAAAATATAACACCTGAGCAATACAACAGTAGGGACTTATTGAAAGTAGCGCTTCAAGTGTTCAGCGTTCCAGGGGTGGGGGAGATCTCAACCTTCCATGTTTTGAAGTCGGTAGGTGCTCGGACGTGGTCGGGCTTTCACAACGTAAGGTCCCTCCCATTTGGCTGCCAGTTTACCCTCAATCGGATTTTTGGTGGCAAGAGTTGCTTCTCTCAAGATAAGGTCCCCTACAGCGAACTCCCTTGGTCGGACTTTGCAGTTGTAGTGTGTTCTCATTTTCTGTTGGTATAAGGCCAGTCTGACAGCGGTGATCTCTCTGAGTTCTTCAATTAGGTCCAGGTCTGCCCGACGGAGCTCTTTGGTTAGTGCTGGATCCGGATGTAAAACTCTGGGAGTAGGCAGACCGACTTCTACTAGAATAACCGCCTCAGCGCCGTATGTTAAGCGGAAAGGGGTTTCCCCAGTGGGAGTCCGAGCTGTAGTTCGGTAAGCCCAGAGTACATTCGGTAGTTCCTTAGCCCAAAGTTCCTTAGCAGCTTCTAGCTTAGTTTTGATGATTTTTAGGAGAGAACGGTTGGTGACCTCAACTTGGCCATTGGCCTGGGGATGACTGGGGGAAGAGAAACATGGTTGAATCTGGAGGTCAGCATAGAACTTTCTGTACTTGGCGTTGTCAAATTGTTTTCCGTTGTCGGAGACGATGGCCTGAGGGATGCCAAACCTGCAAACGATCGACTGCCAGATGAACTTGGTTGTGTTTCCGCTCGATAATGGTGGCAAGGGGTTCTGCCTCTACCCACTTGGTGAAGTAATCAATGGCAACAATCGCGAACTTGGTCTGGCCTCGGCCGATGGGAAGTGGACCGACCAAGTCGATCCCCCATTTGGCGAACGGATAAGGGCTGCAAAGTGTGATCAACTCTGCAAGCTGAGTCTTGGCCTCATCTGCCTTGAGTTTTGCAGCACTCGCCTTCCTCAGCAGAGCCCCTGCTAAGGTGGTTACCTCCATTTGAGCAGAGCATAACCCCCTTAGCAGTTCAGCCTCATTGAATCTGGCTGTTAAACGCAAGGCTGCCTCTTCTACTATCCCCACAAGGCGCTCTGCCCCTGCCCTAGTTGGCCCTCTTCTCCCTCCAGCCGCCCAGCCACTGCACGAGCGTGGTAGATCGCAGTAGTCAGACTGACTCCCCCTCCTCGGGGTGCAGGACCCCCCTGGGGCAGTTCTTCTCTCCTTGGCTCAGGGCTAGTTGCCCCACATTCTACTTGCACTTTGGGGGCGACCCTCGCGACCCCTGCGGCGATCGCCGCCGCTACTGGAATGACTTCCATGCCCTCTGAGGCAATGTCTACCACTTCTTGGGTAATTACTCTTCCTGGGGTCTCCTCCACTTCCCCCCATTCTGCCTTTTTTGCCATACTAGTCTCTTCTGCCATCGCTTCCCTCTTTCTCTTCTGGGCAGGCTCTTTTTCACTCCTCCTCGCTCTCCTCTTCATCTTCACTAAGTCTAACACCTCCATCTCCTTCAAAGACACAAATTCACCTCCATCTCCATCTCCTCTTCCTGGCGGTCGTGGCACAAATTCACCTAAGTCTTTTTCTCCCAAAGGTTTGGGGCGAGGTCGGATCCTCTCCCTTGCAACCGGCTTTGGCGGTCGGTCTGCCTGAGACTCTTTGAATTTTTGGGCTTTGGCAAGGATGGTCTGATCCTCCGCCTTTTAAGCCTTCCTCCTTGCCTCCAACTCCGCTCAGTCGAGATTCCCACCGCTCGGCTGTGGACCCAACCCTGCCTCAAACGAAGCCGACGGCTAAACGAGCTCGTCCTATCTGGCCCCTTCCTTCTCCCTCCATTCCTTTACCCTCTTCACCCTCTCCTCTGCTGCTGCTCCTAGCTTTGGCTCCACAGACTTGGTGGGCACTTTTCAAATGGTGCACACTCCAATCCCTCCACTGGCAGACACATAGAACCACCGTGGTCTCCACCTCTTGATCGACGACGACAGTCCCGCCACCAGCCCTTTCCCTGCTGCTGCCTACAGAGTGAACCAAGTCTCTTGCTGCCCTGAGGCCTTGTAACATGTGAAGAACTCATCTACTGTCATGGCCGCCCCTTTGTACGCCTTCGGTCACGCACTTGCACAGGCCAATAAGATCTTCCACGCATTGGGCATTAGTTGGCCCGACGCTACCTCCAAACGATTCAGGACATCTACCACCACTTGCGGCAGGGGCAGCCTCAGTCCTCCCTTCAATGCTTCCTCATAAAGGGCAAACTCCCCTGGCCTGGCGTCGGATGGCCTCTCCGTCGACATCGACAACAATAACTCTATTTCAGCAGGCACCTGGTATTTTTCGCGAATAGCCTCCAAATCCACTGCAGTAACTGTTGATCTATCTGCCTTTGTATGCCAGTGATATGGTTCTGCTTGGCTGATTGGCTTTGGAGTTGCTATCATGGTGGAACCATGGGATCGTACCACCGACTCCCCTACCCTCTCCATCCTATATTGCTGCGCTAACTCCACTGCATCATCGTCACCAAGTGGATCCACCCTGACATTCGTAGTTTCTTCTTGGGCCATTTCTATGGTATGACTGCGAATCGTTTCGGATGCAGGTGCAAGCCCACTCGACCTTCCTCGTGCTCGACCCTCCTCGTGCTCGACCCTCCCGCTCGATCAACCTTCATGGTCGGCCCTTCCACTCGATCACCTTGCACGATCAGACCACCTCCCGGTCGGTTCACCCTCTCGGTCACCCCTGCTGGTCGACCTCCATCCCGCCAATCCCTAACACCCTCATCTTCTTGATTAGTGCTCCCTTCGTTGGACTAAAGCTGCACTGGGGAATGGGGGACTACTGACGTGTATAAGCCCATAAAGACCATAAATCACTATGAACAACCCAAGCCCATCACTTGGAGCCCAATGCATAACCCAGTCGGTGAGGTCTAGAACAGCTGGAATCTAACATGGCATAAAGAGCCAATGACATTCAGACATATGGTAGGTGAAGGGCGAGCCACATCAGCAGACAAAGATCTGCAAAGTTATTGCCACTGCACATCACCATTAATGCAGCCCATCACAGCATTTATTACGACAACACCTCTCCGTCGGAACAGGACCCCCTTACCCTGAACAAGGTAAGCTACAACATAGACTTTCGGCGAGAAGGGCAGGTCGGAAGGGACAATGAAATGATTACCAAAGGATATAAGCAAACGTTGAAGACAAGAAAAATGTTAAGCTTTTCTATCTCTAATCTCTCCGTCTACACTCTACTTCTCTTCCTAACTTGCTCGTCGGAGGGTTCACTGGGGGACTACCCCGTTCCCCGTTGAACTTGTTTGCAGGTTATCCGGTGGGCTTGATCATTTGGACGTGGGCTTGAGGAGCTTGGACCAGTCCGATCCATTCACTGGGACAAACTGTATTATCAGACTCTATTTGACAAATATTTTTTTTTTCATATACTTTTCATGCTAAATTGAGATAATCCACAAATCCAATACTAATTTTGCATTTCACGTTTTTCTTCTTAATTCTTTTATAGGTATTACGATTTTTTTTAATGTTAAATTGCCTTTTTTCTTCTTCTTATTTTTCCGTGCATTATTCCATACCTAATATCAATTCGATATTATGGATTTGACATTTAAATTTTATAGTGATTCAATATATGAAATTATACTTCATTTCCTATATTATTTTATATAATCACTGCTCGAGTTACTTTTTCAATTGTTGAACAGTAAGTTCTTTTATGTTTTAATATCTTGTTATAGATGATTAATCACTTCACACACTGAGATGTATCTGTCATTTGGATTTTTTCATTATTTTTTTTCTTTTTGGGTTTAGATGTTTTTATGTAATTCTTTCTTCGTTAGTCGTTGTTGAATTTATTTTATATAGTTGATATTTTAATATAACTAAGAGTGTTTATTTTACAATCTTATAATTTAATATATATATATATATATATCATACAAAATTATTATATGATAATCCAACTACAACATATTTATATTTAAATTTTATATAATTTATATTTCTACATATTTTTATTTTCCAAATGAATATAAAAGAAAATTAAATACTTAGAATTACTTTTAATTTTATGGTACTAATTCTTCTTCTAATTTAAGTATTATTTTTAATATCAAAATGAATATTTATTTTATTATTTTATAATTTAACATATATCATACAAAATTATTATATGATAATTACACTTTTATAATACGATAGAACTAAAATTATTAAAATACATAAATAATTTAACTAAAATTAATATATATAAATATTCAAGTAACAATTTCATAAAACGATAGCGCCAATATTATCAAAATAAATAATTAAAATCATACTTTAATTAATTATTCTTTTATAACACATATTGTATAATCAAATATTTTTTGAAAAAAAATAGCACATGCATTACACAGGTCAACTGCTAGTATTACATATGAATTTTTGATTTGTTAAAAATCTTGACGTGGCACCATTTGGTACTGAAGATTGGTCTCTCCAATTATTCAATCTCTAAGCCATACACATTGCGTGAGATTGTTTCACATTTACAATCTGCGAGGACTTGAATCATGTCTTTAAAAGGCCCCTCGCATATATCTCAATGTTTCATCCGAGAGAGAAAAAAATATGGGATCATCCTCGTACCTCTCCATGTCCTTATGTTGGCTCTGCCTTTTCCTAGTCCAGTGTTCTAATCTTATTAAAGTGACTAACTCTTCCTCTCCTATGCAACCACTTCTATGCAAGGAAGAGGAGAGCACCGCCTTGTTACTCTTCAAGCAGAGCTTTTCAATTGAGAAATTTGCTTCTACCGGGCATTCTGCTTATCCAAAGGTTGCATCGTGGAAGCTCGATGGAGAAAATAGTGATTGTTGCTTGTGGGATGGCGTTGAGTGCGACAAGGACTCTGGCCATGTGATTAGCCTCAACCTCAGTAGCAGTTTTCTCTACGGCTCTATCAACTCAAGTAGCAGCCTGTTCAACCTTGTTAACCTTCAGAGGCTTAACCTCGGTGACAACCACTTCAATGATTCTAAAATCCCATCTGCAATTAGCAAGCTCTCGAGGCTGACAAGTCTTGACCTCTTGGCTTCAAACTTTTCTGGCCAAATCCCATCAGAAGTCCTAGGATTGTCCAAGTTGACTTCACTTGTGTTTTCATTTAATCGATTGAAGCTTCACAAGCCCGGTTTCAGTAGCTTAGTTGAGAACTTAACTAGCTTACAAATGCTGCATCTTAGTGACGTGGACATATCTTCTGCAGTGCCTCATACTTTGGCCAATTTGTCTTCTTTGACATCACTCATTCTCAGAAACTGTGGGTTGTATGGTCAATTCCCAATAGATATATTCCACCTAAATAAGCTGCAAGTTCTTAGTGTGCGTGACAATCAAAATCTCACCGGTTATTTGCCTGAATTTAACCAGAGTATTCCCCTCAAGGAATTGAGACTTGCTTCCTCCAATTTTTCAGGTAATCTACCATATTCAATTGGGAATCTTAACTCCTTGATTGTGTTAGATTTCACTGAATGTGAGTTCTCCGGTTCCATTCCAGCATCGATAGGTAATTTGACTGAGCTCACCCATGTTCGCCTTAAATCTAATAAGTTTACAGGTCAGATTCCTTCTATGGCAAGCCTATCACAACTCAATTTTCTATCACTTGCGTACAATAAGTTCGACAGAGGTACTCTGCCTTGGCTTGGAAAGCTAGCTAAACTGACTGAATTAGACCTTGCTGAAATCAATCTTTATGGTTCCATCCTATTGTCTCTTGCAAACCTAACTCAACTCTCTATTGCAATCCTTGACTCCAATCATTTAACCGGTCAAATTCCATCTCAGCTTATGAATCAATCCCAATTACGTGGGATTGACCTTTCATACAATCAATTGCAAGGCCCAATTCCAAGTTCATTCTCTCGCCTCACAAATTTTCAATTCCTTGATCTTTCTTTCAATAGACTCAGTGGCACGGTGGAGCTTGAAATTTTTTATCAGCTAAAAAATCTCACTCGACTCGTACTATCCGAAAACAAGTTAACTGTGATGACCAAAAACACCACTAACACAACTCTGCCGCAGTTGAGGGTTTTAGAATTGCGTTCATGCAACTTGAGGAAATTCTCAATTCCATCACTATCCATTTATTCTTATGATGTCTCAAACAACAAATTGAATGGAGAAATTCCAGCAGAGTTTTGCAGTGCAACTTCCCTAAACTGGCTTGATTTGTCTGACAACAACCTGGGTGGGAAAATTCCTCCATGTCTGGGCAACCTTAGCAAATCTCTGTCTGTTTTGAATTTAAGAGGCAACAACTTTCAAGGAACCATTCCTCAAACATTCCAACAAGGTAACACACTGAGGATGATCGACTTGAGTGAAAACCAATTACAGGGGAAGATGCCAAGATCATTGGCAAGTTGTACCATACTTGAGATTCTCAATCTTGGGAACAATCAGATTGAGGACACTTTCCCCTTTTGGTTGGGAGCTCTTCCAAGGTTACAGATTCTCATTTTGCGATCCAACAGATTCTATGGTGCAATTGGGAGTCCGAAATTCAATTTAGAATTCCCACATTTGCACATTATTGACCTCTCTTACAATGTTTTCACAGGTGAATTGCCGCTAGACTACTTCCAAACTTGGAAAGCAATGACAATAGTCGAGGTGGGCCGGCTAACATACATGCATGCCAACATAAGTTACCAAACTTGGAAGCGTCAATGGAATTACGACTACGAATACTCATTGACCATGACGAACAAAGGCATACAAATGGCATATGACAAGATTCAAACTTTCTTGAATGCCATTGATCTCTCAAGCAACAAATTTGGAGGGAAAATTCCAGAATGCATTGGATATCTCAGGGGGCTTGAGTTGCTCAACCTGTCGAGCAATGCTCTTGTTGGTTCCATCCCTTTATCTTTAGGAAACTTGACAAATCTTGAATCACTCGACCTTTCTCAAAACAAGCTCTCTGGAGAGATCCCTCAGCAACTAACGCTACTCACTTTCCTTTCATTTTTCAATGTCTCGCGTAACCATCTCACCGGGCGCATACCACATGGGAAACAATTTGATACATTTCAAAGCAACTCCTACGAGGGGAACTTAGGATTGTGTGGAAACCCTTTGTCGAAGAATTGTGGAGACTCGGAGTCATCTCCTCCACCACCACCTTCATTCTTTGAACAAAATGAAGATTCAGAGTTCCCAAGTAATATTGATTGGATTATCATATGTACGGGTTTTGGAAGTGGGCTTGCGGTTGGTCTGGTTATTGGACACACCTTGACCACAAGGAAACATGAATGGTTTGTCAAAACTTTTGGAAGGAGGCAACAGAAATGGAGGCATGAGAGGAAGAGGGAATAAAGAAATGAATGTTACAAGCTTTGTTTCCTTCTAGGAAGTAAATCTTTGTAATTGTTTCCTTTAATCCAAAAGCTGTGCAACATTTTGTGATTTATGTTGAGATTGTATTTGGCACTTCTTTCACATATCAGGTTGTATTAGTTAACTTTTTATATTTTATTTCTATGTAAAATTTAATTTTCTATTCTAGTAAATAAAATTTTAGAGGCTTACTTATAACCTCTACTATTGGAACCTTTAGTGGAGAATTTTTTTTGGGGGGTCTTTATACAAGGTCAATTTTTTTTTTTTTTTGGTAGACCTTCAGACAAGAAATATTTTTTTTGACATTTATAATTGGGGCCTTTAATCAGGAAGAGTTTTGTGTTCAAACTTTATTACCTAGCCAATACTTCTGATATTTCCATATTTGGCCGACTTATGAAGAGGAGTTTTGCCGCAAGAGAGGGGTGTGTGCGGTGAATATAAAAAATAGTAATATTATGTTCACAAAATTTGTGCATAAAAATATATTAAGAAAATTCTTTGTATGACCAAAATTCATTCTAAAGGTTAGCCCCACAATATATGAGTTGAATCTGAACTGTAAAAATTACTTTTCTAGGTATTTTTATACACTATTTTTGTACATATATCTTTGCTGTTAGTTTGACGTGTTATAATGTTGGGGAAATTACAAGACAGTAAGAAGTAAGGAAATTATTTACTGAAAGGTGAAAGTGTAACTTTTACAGTGATTTTTTTGTACAAAAAAAAGCTACTCTCTAAATTGATTTGTAATTATTTCCCCTATAATAATATTCCACTACATTTGAAACAAGACAAAACGAGTGTGAAATATTGCTGTCGTTCAAGTACCATATCTACAGAATAAGGCTGTGGTAGTTGATTTTTAATGGTTAATTTTGTTCATTACTTATTGTCGCTACCTGCACATATACTTGGTTAATCTTTTAGCATATAATTTTGGATAACCCTAAGAGACAGTAATAATAAGGCAAATTATACTCTTGGTCCTATAATTTGTTCAATTTACTCTATGTGTTTTTAATAATATCAATTTTGTCTTGTTAGTTTTTTATATTGTGAGAATTTAGTCCAATTTATAACAATTGGTTAAGAAATTAAACACAAATCTAAGATAAAATGCTCCATTCAAAAGGAATAAATCATTTCTAATCGAACATTATCACCTCAGTTAGTGAATAGACTATTTTGCCCCCCTTAATTTTAGTCTAATTTTTAGAAGTGTATTATTATCAATAATTAGACTAAATTGACACAATATAAAAAATTCAACTGTAAAATTAATGCAATTAGAATTATAATAACAAAATTAACACGAGGCAAACTACAAAGACTACGGATATAATCATTGATTAGATTCTAGATGGATTCAGTGACCATGAAATTTTTGTTTTCAAATCTTTCCATTGACTTGATAATTATAATCAAACAAATCAAAAGTTTGGCAATACATTATGGCCATTTTGAATATAATAATTAAGATTTTTTTCTAACAATTTAAACTTTTAAATAAATTAGTTGTTCATATTTTTACACAATGGTTCATTAATTTCTGCAGAAACTACAAACATTTCACAGAAAGGTTTTAATCCAATGCTCAATTTTCCTAGAAGTGCTAAACAGAAAAGTTACAAAGAAAATGTCAAAATACTTGGGAAAACAAACGGTTAACCTCTGTTAAAAGTCATGAAACAGTAAATTTTGGCTGTACGTAAAAATCACTTTCTATCTTTCATTAGGAAGTTTCCGCGCAAAATTTACCCACAAAACAGGGAACACCCAAACAAACCCCCTATTCACTCCCTCAACCAACAACAATAACATACAGAAAACATACAATTATTTCTAGCAAAAAAAATTTTTTTTTTTTGTTGAAGTGATGAGAAGTTTAGATTAGATTCAGCAATCGATCGCTTCGTGCTAAGAGAGAAGTTAGATTTGGATGTCATCCCTGGCATCGATTCAAAACTCTGGGGCTGTGATTTTATGGTTTGTTTTCAGTTAGTCTTCTTCTGTTTACCTTTTATTGCTTGTTTGTTTTGTTTTGTTCACATTTCTAATTAGTGTTGTGAGGATTTGCATTAGAGGCAAGTCCAATGTTTAATTTATACTATGGAAATGTAATGGTTTGTTTTAAGCATCCTTGAGTCCTCGACTTCTCTGATTGTCATGTAAAATTTACACTAAAATTGACCACTTCATTTAGGAAGTTAGATTTATAATCAAAAAATTAAAAAGTCACTATAAATTATTATATCATTCTTTTTACTTTTTATATGTATTTTCATAAAAAGTTAAAAAATCAATTAAAATAATTAATTCTCAAACAGGGCTGTCATTAATGTTAAATCTCACATATACTGTCTTGTCCATATTAACGCTTCCTCAAGAAAAAAAAAATTATATAGTCGTCTCCAACGTGACATTTGAAAATACATTCTCTGAGAAAATAGAGCTTACCTTCTACAAATCTTGCTTTAGCAAGAGTCATTGGATCAACTTTTTAGCCCCATGCACAAAAGGAATTGTTGAAATTGACCTTAATTCTCACTCACTCAGTTGAACGTTATAAATTTGGTAATATAGTATAATTTTTTCTCGAGAAAGAGTCAATATGTACAAAATATTACATGTGAACCAAACACTAAACATACTTCAAATTTAGTGGCATCTCAAAACATTCTTATTAAAAATAAGATTTGTCCTTTTCAAATCTTACTTTAATGAGAGTTTTGTGCACTGACGGTATGTGCACGTGGCACTGTTACTAATAAAATTACATAAAAGGAAATTGTTAGTACCCACTTTATCTCTCACTCAATTAATCAAATAAATTAAGTTGACTCCATTTTAATATATATAATTATGAGTAATTTATGTAAACTATTGTGTGGGAAAAAGTTTTACTTGTTAGTAAGTGTCACATATCATACAACAGCAAAGTACATATGGTAGTGGTTGAGAGAGAGAGAGAGAGAGAGAGAGTGAAAAATTTGTGAAATTTTGTTGGGGCGGACTTTACGGGGTTCTTCTTGTAAGCTTGCATTTTATCGAATTCCATCCAGCTGGAACCGATACCTCTGCTTCTCTAGTCTGTCCAACCCAACAATTCCAACCCAGTACAATACAACCATCCATCACTGCGCACACTCTCTCTCTCTCTCTCTCTCTCCATAAATATATATATCAAAAATGTTTAAGACCCCCTTTCCCTTCACCCCTTTTGACCCTCTCTCTTTTTTGATTAGCTACTTTTTCTTTTGCTTTTTATTTTTTCCCTTCTCCTTCAATCACCATCCGTCACGTGTGTGTGGGGGATTGTGGGGGTGGTGATTGGAGGGGGTCTCTATCAATACTCTATATATATATATATATGATCACATAAAATTTACACGGAATATTCATTCATTTCAAATAAAAAAATATCAAATTGACTTATTATTTTTAAAACATTATTGTTACATTACTCTGATTCAGCTTTTTACTAATCATTTTCCTAAGTTTATTATTGCATACTCTTCATGGTATTGACATATATGGTGCCATTTTTTTTCCATTATGATTGGTTTAGATAGTGAAATTAATATTTATATAACTGATAATGTAGCATTATTTGATTTATATTGATACTTGAAAAACAACATGTGAGACATACTATTTTGTAATTGATGGAAGGTACTATTGATATTATCACCTAGTACATTATTTACACCCAATAATATATCTATGTATATATATATATATATATTGAGAGGGCAATTTGTGTGATTAAATTGAGCCGAGCTGAATTACACATTCAGTGAGGGTTGGGCCGCGCAATGGGCCGAGAAAGATCTCAGGCAGCTTAATCTTGAGCAAAACGGATGATGGGCCGATCGGAGGGTTAGGGCCTAGTCAGCAGACTACCAGACAAGAGAAGGAGACCGAGCTACTCTTAGCTTGACACAGTTCATATGGAGGACTGACACGCGGTGCAGTCAGCAATGAACCGAAATATGGTAGCTCGGTTGAGCATAGCTAGCTGAGTAGAGAGTTTTTCATCTCACTTGGCTTACAGTGATGACAGTGTTCTAAGGATAAGAATTATCCTTGGGCATACGACTCCTAAGAGAACTCTGCTAAGGAGAATTAGAGTCCTACTAGGATTATACCAGACGAAATCTATAAAAACTCATGACAGCACCTATCTCCAGGTATTGCAATTCATACTCCTGAATTCACAGAGCTTTTGTGTCTATTGTCTGACTTAGGCATCAGAGGGGTTTCCGGCACACACCCACTAACTAGCTCACGTTTGTGTTTTTAAGTAATAAGACGACGACGTTTGGATGAGTGCAAACTTGATTAACAGAATCATACGAGACAAATCATTTCGTACTCATACACACACACACATATATATATATATATATATATATGTATTATATCTTGATGCATGATTCATTGTTATTACGTTGTCTGTGGAATTTAAATTATGTTATGATTGATGTCGTTTCAATAATTAGATTGTGTTGTTAGACTCTTGTATTCCACAATGAGATTTATTTTGATAATATAGTCTGTTCAATTTTTAGACTCACATGTGTCATGTTGATTATTCATAATTGTAATATTACTCATAAAAGTGATAAAATTATATGTTCACAAACAATTATTAGATCAATTTATTTTTTTTTACAAATAATCTATACATAATGACTTAAAAATAAATAAATAAAATTATCAAAACACACGATGGTTCAGTCATTTCACCCATCTGAAAAACAACTGGAAAGAAACATGGGTACAGTCCTGTAGAGAGGCTTAAATGAAAGATCAAATGTCAATTGAAAAGAACTGTTTTCACAATGCTATTTTCTAATATATATGCTTTCTGTCTCATACGACTTTGGGGTTTTCCTTTAAAGACCAACACCATGAGACAACCAAGTGGGTGATCTCTCTGACCATGATCCTCAAGGTCTACCCTTTAACTTGCTTTAACTTATTTTACATTACATTACATTATTAATTGAAACACACACATTATTAGATACTGTGATATGACTTTGTTGTGTTTGTTTGTGCTCCGAGAGTAGAATATATATAGTTTTTGACACCCTAATGCTCCATTTTATTTTTCATTTTCTCAACTTGAAATTTTATTTGAGCCTGTTAATTGACTTTTTGGCTTAATCTTGAAATTCAATTCAACCCATCATGAAGATAGTGGTTAGCAATTGTTCAAGTCTTTGCATATTTTATGAGGTTAAAAGTTTGACTCTTTTCACTTACATACGGATTCTTCTCCTTATATTTATTTGATTTTTTTTAAAGAAAATTAATTGTATGTTTGTGAGTATGTATTGAAGCTTCTTTCATTAATTGTTAAATGTCCAATTTAATGTAAATATCATTTTTTTTTTAATAATTTATCTATTATCAATTGACAAAAGAGACCAAGGTATTTTATGGTAGCTAAAAAGGCAGAGAATATATCAGACATAATATATATTGTAATGTGATATTAACCATTAATGGTAAAGTTTGGAGTGAGTGGGATTACTTTTTTATTTTTTTTTAACTCGGTTAAGAGATAAAATTACCAATAACTCACTTCATTTGAGACTTTCAATTGGTCACTTTTGGAGTTAATATTTTTAGCAATACTTCAAACACACAGCAAATAAAATAAAATAAAAATAAAGAAAGCATTCAAAATTTTAAATCTATAACTAAGATTTTACTCAAAAAGTAGCCCCACAACAAGCACTCAAATGTAGAATTTTTACTGAGTTTACTGGTTCCATAAACTTTTCCTAATATTTTACTAGTTTGACTAATTCAAATAATTGAGAACAATGGTGTATAAAAACAAAAACAAAAAAAAAATTATTTTAAGAATAATTAAAAGAATCATTTTGTGAGAGATTCATAAGGGTGAGCATGGTTCGGATTGGACCAGATTGGAATAAAATCAGGACCAATCCGTTATCTACGATTCCTAAAAAATTGAAACCAATCCAATCTGTTTAAATCATGGAATCAATCCGAATCAATCTATTTAAATACGGATTGAATCGGTTTAGGACCACGGATTCACATAATTAAATAATAAAAATATATATAACACTTTAATTTTATAAAAATATAAACATAGCGCTATATTAGTTCCACAATAGCAACATATTTTTCTATAATAGCGGCATACTGTTCTAAAATTTAAACAATCATAAGAAAACTGGTTTCACTATAAGTATTTAAACCATTATAAATTAAAACTAAAAACCAACAAACAAAAGTAATAAAAGAAGATATTACACGGTTTTAGGTTTGGGTTTAGATTTTATATAGAATTAAAAGAAGATACTATGGGGGATGATGTATAATAAAAATATAAATTATTTGTATATGATCCGGATCAATTCTAATCTGGAATCGTGAGGTTTAATCCAGAACTAATCCGTACACTACAGATTTTTAATTCTTCCATTCGAAACTAAATTACGAATTCAAGAAATCAATCTAAATTTATTACACTAGACTAAACTGAATCAAATTACGAATTTCACGAGTTTCACGAATTACTTGCTTAGGCTAGAGACTCACACAATGTCCCTAAAAGCTGGTCTAAAATCTCTAGCTATATAGAGTATAGTGTGGTCCACCACACCACCTCACCCACTCATGCATGCAAACACAGAGTAAAAGAGAATAGTGTTATCTCCGCAACATCCATGCAACGTTCATGATTTCCATTCCACCAACGGCCTTAAACCAAAGTCATCGAAATTTGCAAACAACAAAAACAACAAAACAACCATTTTGCTCTACCCCAAAAGCCCCCTCCCTATGTATGAAAACTAATAATTCACACCCCCTTGGTTCCACCCTCCTCTTCCTTGGACCTTTTCCTTTGGCCTCTTCTCTTTCCCCCTCGATACTCTCTCTCACACACACACTATCTCTCTCTCTCTCTCTCTCTCTCTCTCTAAACGTTACTTTCTTCTCTCTCTCCTCTAAGTCAAAGCCATGGTTTCAAGAGTATTTATACAAATTATATTTTTATACCAAATTTTCATGTAAACTGATGTAATTTTTTATGATCTTTTTATTTTTAATCAAAATACCCGTCATTATCTTTGTAATTTTAGAATGATCATTGACACAGTATTTTTTAGGGGGAATAACATGGCAGTGGGACATAAATTTTTTTTTACACAAACATAGAATGTGACTTGCACCCTCATAATATTTCACTTTGTATCCCCATTATAGAATCACTTGCACCCTATATATTTTTGTAATTTTTTTTTTTATCTCCACTGTGCTGTAATTCCCCACATTTTTTTATAGGCATGTAAAATTTGAAAAATAATTACAAATTAATGATAAAATTTATTAATATTAATAATTATATATATATATATATTTTTTTTATGGATTTGTATGCATTTCTTTTTTTATGCATTCCACTGTGGTGTAGTTACCCCCAATTTTACCATGTTCCTCAATCAATTTCCATTGACTATCTTATCTAATGTAAACACAATAATAATAGAATAAATTGCTCAATTAGAAGAGAATCACAAACAATTGACTACCAAGCATGAAACTAAAAAAAAAACTAGAATTGATAAAAAAAAAAATTAAAAAAAAATCACTTGATACTTTTTCATTTTGTAAAAATCATTTGCATTCTTAAATGTCTCCATTTACCTCTATATAGGCTTTTTTGAGACATTCAAAATAAAATGTTTATTAATTTATTTCTATTATATTACCTCTTTATTTTTTATATATCCTTTTATAATGAATAAAACTTTTTTTATAATAAATAAAAAAATCAAAAAAAATAAGAGATATCCAAAACAACACTTAAAAACCATGGTCAAAATCCTTCACTCCCTACAAATACCCATTACTTCTCAACTCTCACTCTATATATCTCAACCCTCTCTCTCTCTCTCTCTCAAATCTTCTTCTACTAAGATGGTGCAACTAATAGAACTGAAGAAGAAGAACAACCAGTCAAATGTAGCAGACGATAAAGAGAAGAGACCCAAGTTTTGCATCAACGACCACTTAGACATCCTCATCGAGATCCTCAAGCGCCTCGACGGCCGCTCCCTCGGCTCCGCCGCCTGCGTCTGCCGCTTGTGGCGCTCCATTGCCCGCAACGACTGGCTCTGGGAGCACCTCTGCTTCCGCCACGTGTCTCCGCCGCCTGCCGGAGTCAGGCCGGTGGTGGCCGCCCTGGGCGGCTACCGGAGGCTCTACATGGTGTGTCTGCGTCCGGTTCTCAGCCGCCTCTCCAGGATGAAGAAACTCCGCCTCGGCGGCGGAGGTGGTGGCGGTGACTGGGAGGTGGTGAGGAGGGTGTGGACTCGGCACGAGGTGGAGCTGTCGCTGTCACTGTTTTGCATTGACTATTACGAGCGGTTGGGCGGTGGTGGTGGGAGGCACGGCGGTGACTCGTCAGCATCGTCGCTCATGTTCCTATGCAAGCCCGTGAACGTCTGATTGTTTGACTCTTTTGTGTTTTGACCGATCGTAAGGCATTGAATGGGTTGTTTTTGTTCTGGTCTACTCTATATACTTTAAACTAAACGTAGCAGAAAAATTCTTTCTTCTTCTTCTTCTTTTTTTTTTTAATTTATGTTTTTATTTCTATTATTATTATTTGGTTAGTGGATGTATTAATTAAGAAAATGAAATGCTAATGGGTATTGCTTTTTGTTGTTTTATAATAACATTAATTTGAAATATATAGTTCATTTTTTTTTTTTGGGTAAAATATATATTTGATTTACTCTTAACAAAAGTTGCATACCATTTGGTATGAAATCTATATATCAACTAAAACCATGAAAAATAAATAAAAATTTAAATCAATCAAAAATTTATAAGGTAGGCATATTCATTTTAGATATGAGTGCTTCAGGGGTATGTGTTAAAGAAATGTAAAATAGTTGTAGGTGTTTTTATAAAGAGAAATATTTAGCATGTTTGATTTGAATTTTTAAGATTTATTTTTTAGAAAATTAATTTTTTTTATTTTTCATATTTTTTTTTGTTTTTACTGAGTTTTTAAAATATTCTTAGCAAAAAAATTTAAAAATAACTTTTAGATACACCTAATATAAATACACTTTAAAAGTATAATATTTGTGAAAAAAATCTATAGAAAATTCATTAAATATCAAAAATATTTTTTAAAAAAATAAAAATTTAATATATTTTTCGTATTCTTGTATATTTATTGATTTTTAATATTTTTTTATAAATATTTTGCTTTTCATATACATCTAATTAATGTACATCTAAAAAAGTAAAAAAATTACTTGAATTTTAAAAATATTTACTTTTTAGACTCCCAATTTTAAACTCCCAATTTTGAACCCTCAATGACATGGCAAGCACTCATTAGAGAATTTTTATATTTTAGTGAGATTTCTCAATGATGTAGCTTATGAGACATCACTTAAGATTGATTTGAGGGTCTAAAATTAGAGTTCTAGAACATTTTCTAATTTTAAGAAAGTTTTGATGGTTTCAAATATTTTTCTTTTGTAAGCGCATGTCATAAAAACTTACAATAATTTACAGCATTATTCTTAAAACACTCATTAATAATATTTTAATTCATATTATAGATATTTGTTGGGGTAAATTACACTAACACCTCCTAAAGTTTCTATTTAATAAAAATCCTCTCTCATATTTGAAAAATTACGCTTACCCCATGTCAGATTAAAATGACATATTTGCCCCTTACCCTTTATATATATAAAATAATAAAATAATATAGATATTTTGTTTATGTTATTTCAAAGAAAATAATAGTCATCTTCTTTAATTTAACTCACACAAAAAATTGAATTTTTTATTTTTCATTTTTTTTATAATTTTTACTGAATTTTTAAAATATTTTAAGCAATTTTTTTTAGTTTTTAGATACACTTAATCTAGATATACTTAAGAAGTATAATATTTTGTTATTTTTTTTAATTCACCAAATTCAAAAAAACATGCAAAAACACAAAAATTCAATACATTATCTTATTTTGTTGTATTCAATGAATTTTTTTAGAATTTTTTGTACAAATTTCATACTTTTTAAATATATCTAGATTAAATTGATCTAATCTAGATATAATGGTGGAAACAAAAATGAAAAATTATATTAATATATAAAAATTTATACAAAACTATCATAAGATGTTATGATAGTGATATTGTTGTAAATATAAATCATATTTATCGATATTTTGTTTTAAAGTGAAAGATTATCATTAAACTATAGAGTGGTGCTATTAGCACACCATATATTATTTTGGATCCCTCATTTTTTTGGACCCTTATTTATAAATTTTGAAACTTTTAAATTTTTTTCTCCGCCCAAATAATATCAAAATTATCTTTGTGAAAACATTCCACTCATTCAATTAAATGCACACCCCCCACACCCCAAGAAAACTTCTCTTCCAAAAACCCTAACAAAATCCATGAAAAAGAAGAAGAGCTAAGTGTGATTGTTGTCCCTACTCTCTCTTTTTCTCTCTTTGTTGCCTTATCATTTGCTTCAGTGCTTAATGTTTGGTTACCGATTCCCAAACAAATAAACAATGTTCGGGCCTGTATTCCCGAATTTTGGTCATATGTTCGGGAGTACAATCCTAAAAAAATGACGAATAGATTTTATTATTTTTGCCATTTTTTTTAAGAAACTTACCCTTAGAAGGCGAATCTCCTCTAAGCTAAAAACATCATTGAAGCTATGAATTTCCTCTGAACTTTTATTGTTGTACTCCTCTCGTCTCATGGAGTTGTGGTTGTCGAAAAAACTTCCACTCATTATCATTGCCGGAGAAATATAGGTAATTAAATGGTTGTTATCGTTATCGCCGGAACATTACTGCCAAAGAGTTTTGAAGGTTTTGAGGGTGGGTAAGTTTTGAAGGTGAGATTTGGGAAAGATGGATGGGTTGTGATGGAGGTGAGTACTTTCATAAATCCTAATTCATGAAGTAGTGGTGTGTGGGTTTAATTGTGAGATGAGATGTCCCAAAATTAATGATGTCCTTTTTAATAATTTTATTTGAGGTTATTATTGTAATAAAAAAAAGGGCTAAAAATTGAGGAGTCCAAAATAATCCATAGGGTGCTGATAGCAGCACTCTAAACTATATCATTGTATTTGAAAATTTTATATAAAATTTATGTTTGTATATCATCACTCAATAAGAATATATGTAGGCGGACTTTAATGATGGAAAATTATTGAATGTAGTTATGATGATAGGACTAATAAATGGTTAAAAAAAAGTAAGATACTCATTTAAAAAATTTTATGGTATGACATCAACAATTCAGTGGATAAATTGTTATGAGATTACAAATCTAAGGGAGGATAATGTAATTTTTCAAATATGAAGAAAAAAATATGTATTAAATAGAAATATCAAGGGGTGTCAGTGTAATTTACCCTTTTTATTTTTTTATTATATAATATTTTTTGTAAATCAATTAATAAACCAGTGATACATATCAAATTTTGGAAATTCGCCAAACCTTTTTATTTATTTATTATATTATTGGAATATATAGAGTAAATTGAAAAGCTTAAAAAGGGATGAATTATTGAAGAAAAAGAAAGAAAGAATATGGAAATGAAAAGATATGTAGTTGAGGAAGGGGACAAGTAGAGTAGAGTCAACAAGTGATTCTGAAGCTATAGCTAAAATGGAACGTTGGAGCAAGCAAGCTGGCTGAACCCTGGCTATGATAGCGAAGTTTCATAGCTGAATTCATATCTTTTTTCTCTTTTCTTTTCTTTTGTTTGTTATAGTAGTGGCAAATCCTTCTTGTCTTTACATAAGGCAAAATGGGTTCTACCAAAAAAAAAAATTGTTTAGTTATTATTTGGGATTCTTGATTATGTTGTTTTATGCCACACCAATCGTAAAAAATTAATTGCTGTTTCTATTACTAATAATTGAAATTGAATCTTTTGTTCCACTTCCTTGTTCAAACTCACTGTTTATCACTTGATCAATATCGTTTAAGACAAGAATATAAGAGGATAAAACAGAAAATCTTTTGCCTTAAAAACTGACCTTACTAAAATAGGGTGTGAAATTGTGTGAATGGCAATAGAGCAAAGACAAGTGTTGTACTTAGAACAAAACATTTCTTTCTAAAGGGTACTTCCCATACTTTATTATGCTTTTACCCAAATAAAATAAAATAAAATCTTAATTCAATTTTTTTGTTTACTTTTTGAACTTTATTTGGGAGGATGGAGGGTTAATTTAAATTAAAAATAAAAGATGAGCAAACTTTGAAACTAAAAGAATGCAATTAGGCAAATTCTTCAGAATTGTGTTTGAATCATGAATTTATATAAAATTTTGAAAAGAAAAATAAAAAAGGTGTGTGAAATATAAGTAATATGTAATTATATTTCTTTTATTTTTTTCTTTTTTTGTGCTCAAAAACACAAAGCAGAGTTTTTTTGTTGAGAAAAAATAATTGTATCATTGTCCCAATTTTTAATGTCATCTTCTAACTTTTAATTTTTTTTTAATTTTTTTAACACAAAAAAAAGGGTTCTGTGGTGTCATCATGACCCTGTTGGGCTCTAGTCCCGGGATAACCGGTTGCCAGTTAGGAATTAACCACCACCAAGTGAGGGATCCACCACCAGGGCACCAATGGAGGGCAACCACACGCCGCAGCAGAGGACAGGGTTCGAGGGAAGTATGAGCGTGTTCTCAAAAGAGATTTCAAACTCCCCTCTCAAGAATCGACCCTGGCTCTCAGCTAGGGAATGTGCCGCATCCTCCACCAGGCCACCAACCCTGGTGGTTAATTCTTTTTTATTTGATCCCTCCGACTTTTATAATTAAATTGGTGCAATCCATCCCACAAATCAAGGTGAGGAAAATTATGTTATTACGATATGTTTCTTCCTTGGGTTTACACAAAAGATATGTTAATTTTATAGTTTATGCAAATAAGATTATTAATAAATATATATATATATATATATATATTTATACACAAGTTCTAATTTATTAACTTATATTCTATTAAGTCCTAACTAAAATTTTTTAAACCTTGTAGTCCCATTAAATTTTTAATAGTCAAAATTGCCCTTCAAATAATGATTGTTCATCATTTATGATTATCTATAAAGGAACATGATGATTTGACATTTATTTTTATTTTTAAAACTTTAAAACAATTTTAAAATAAAAAAAATTAAAAAAAAAATTATGTGCAAAATATATATATATATATATATATATTGTGTTTTGAAAAAATTGAATTATTTTTTTTGTGCAAAAGTGAAAAATTTTGTGTGTATAAAGGAGTACGGTGATGAAATATTGATATGCAAAATTGAAAAAAAAAATTAAAAATGAAAAATTGATAATGTTTTCAGTTTTAAAATTAAAAAAAATTGATAATATTCTCGGTTTTATTGGATAGTTGAATTAAACCAATAAGTAAAAGAGCAAAAACGTTTAATCTCTTATTCTCTGTTTTTTTTTCATCAGTTAGTGAAAAAATTATTTTGAATATTACTATGCAAAATTGATAATGTTCTTAATTTTAAAAATTGAAAAAAATCAATAATATTATCAATTTTACTAAATATGACTTATTAATTAAAAAAATCTTAAATAAAATCTAAATTATCATAATATTTATAAATAGAACTTTTAAATAATTAACTATAAAAACAAATTGTAAACAAAAGAAACATAGATGTAGAGAGGAATCTATATATACATTAAAAAATGTATACTTTCTCGTTTCGTAGCACAAAGGAAAGGAATGAACCATTTTTTAAATTTCCTTGACAATAATCATGTATTTCTTTCCAAACAACCCAAAACAAACGGCCATGCTACAGACCCCAGTGGAGTGACCCCCAGTGACGACCCCCAGTGACGTGTCACACTGGGGTTGGCCGAAAATCCAAAAAAAAAAAAATAAAAATAATTTTTTTTGTCCAATGGGAGCTGACCCCCAGCACCCCCAGCTGGGGGTCTCAGTCATTTTTCAAAAACAAATTGTAAACAAAAGAAACATAGATGTAGAGAGGAATCTATATATACATTAAAAAATGTATACTTTCTCGTTTCGTAGCACAAAGGAAAGGAATGAACCATTTTTTAAATTTCCTTGACAATAATCATGTATTTCTTTCCAAACAACCCAAGTTACTTTAATGGGATATTTGGCAATTGGTTAAGTCATAATTAAAAAGTTAAAAAATCAATACAAAAAATTAATTCATCCTCTTTATTGTTTTAACAGTTTTTATGTGTGAAAAGTCAAAAAAAATTACTAAAAAATTCAATTCTTAAACAAACCTTAAGGGTGTGTTTGATAACGTTTACGTTTTCAGTTTATATTTACAAAAATTTTATAAACTAGTTTTTGTTTATTTTTTGTTTATTTTTAGAAAAATAAAAACTACAAATGCGTTTGGTAATTGACAAAATGTTTTAAAATTTTAAAAATATAAAAAAGAGTAAGAAATGACAAATGGTGGCAAGTGGTGGGTGGAGACGAGTGATGGCGGCGGAAGACGGTGATGGAAAATGATTGCGGGCGGTGGTGGCGGAAGACGGTGGTGGAAAATGATGGCAGGTGGTGGGTGATGGTGGCAGAAGACGGTGGTGGAAAGTGGTAGGCAAGTGAAGGTGGTAGCGGTGGAAGATGGTGGTGGAAAGTGATGGCGGGTGGTAGTGGCGGAAGATGGTAGTGGCGAGTGGTGGTGGCGGCAGAAGACGGTGATGGTGGGTGGTGGTGGCAGAAGATGGTGGTGGAAAATGGTGGTAGGTGGTGGCGAAGGGTGGGTGGTAAAAAAAAAAAAAATTAAAAACGTAAACTCATTTTTTGAGTTTATAAATTTTGGCCAAATTTATAAACTGAGACCACTGGTTTATAAACCAAAATATTTACAAAACAAGTTTTTATGATAGTTTTTTTAATTTTTATAAATATAAACTGAAAACTGAAAACGTAAGTGTTACCAAACGCTACCTTAGCTTCTCTTTTCCCATATTTTTGTTTTACTTTTCTTTCCCTTTATCTAACATGGGTGAAGAGTTGTGAATCTCTTAAAAAATGTCCAGATTCAACAACAACAAAAAAAAAAATTTGACTTTTTAATAGAAAAATAGAAAAGAAAAAAATTGATGCAATTTTTTTAGGGGGGGAGGGGGTTACAAATTCATTCCCTTTCCTCTTACCTTTAGAAATCCAAGATCCAAATGATACATTTTCTTTTTAACTTTGACATTTTGAAAAACAAAGAATAAATTACAAATACACCCTTTAAAGTTTGCTTAAAATATAAATTATCTTTAGTAGTTCTAGAAATTACATTTTGTCCCCTGAAAAACGAAAACACATTTTTTGGCCAAATTTATAAACTGAGACCATTGATTTATAAATCAAAAATTTTACCAAATAAATTTTTATTTAAATTTTTAAAAATTTTATAAATATAAGTAAAAAATTAAAAACGTAAGTATTATCCAACGACACCTAACTAATATCACAGTATTCAGCTTAATGAGACTTCCTTTGGCAACTTCATTGTTAGGTTAAAAATTGAAAGAAAAAAAAAAGGTTCAAAAAAATAATTAAAAAATAAGTCGAACACACTAGTTATTTACATTTTTCATACAATTAAAAAAGTTATTTACAAACACTAATTTTTTTTTAATCTCATAAAAATGTAAGGAAAAAAAAACTATAAAAAAAAAAAGCTAAATACCAAATGACCCCTCCTCACCAAACCAATAACTAAAATTTCTCAAAATTAATTCATCAAATAAATTTTATATTTCAAAAAAAAAAAAAATACATCTAACAATTGTAGTATTATATGAAAATGACATGAATTTAGAAATAATTTAACAAGGTCTATCTTTCTCCACAACCAAACACAGCCATTGAGGTGGGAGAAAAAACATAATAAAGAAAAAAGAAAATAAATTATAAAAACATTTTTTAAAATTTGATTAAAATACGAATCATTTCTTATAATTCTAGAAATTACATTCCACCTCCTGAAATTTTTAATTTCATAAGAAATCGTTAATTTTATTAATAAATTATCAAGTCAATTAACAGTTTTTAATGATGTTAGAAATATGTTTCAATTAATAATTTAGGTAATTTTATTATTATATAGGAAAGTAATTATAAATTTTATTTTTTAAGTTAATTTTGTTAAATAAAAAATTTTAATAAGAAGTATTTGTAATTTTTTAAATTATAAGAATAATTTATATTTTAAAGGGCAAATTACATATACACCTCTCGAGGTTTGGCTAAATTACAGATACCTTCCTGAGGTTTCGGAAATTACATCCCGCCCCCTGAGGTTTGTATTTTCATAACAATTTGCCCCCTGAGGTTTATATTTCATAACAAATTACCCCCTAATTTCTTATGCAAATATAGCATTCAGGGGGGAATTCGTAATTTCTCAAACCTCAGGGGGGCATCTGTAATTTAGCCAAACCTCGAGGGGTGTATATGTAATTTGCCCTATTTTGAATAAACTTCATCGGTGTATTTGTAATTAATTTTTTTTAAAAAAAAAGAAGGAGTATGCGCATCGCGCACAGCTGCGTACCGTTAGATTCCTCCGTATTGAATACTATTATTAACTGCACTTACTTTCACTCGCTAATCATTACATTATCCCTATTTATTTATTTTTTTAACTATTCCTCTCTCTCGTCGGCGCTCGTCGGACTCCTCCGCCTCCCGCCGCCGTGAGCCGCCGGAATCTGACCCACACGCAACCCCCACCCCCAATTCAGTGACTTTCCATAACAACCCTAATCTATTCCCCTTTTTTGGTACTCTTGTTTAATTTTCTATAAAAGTTTCCGTATTCACGAGTGTGTCTGTCTTTTGTGTACTTTCACTTCAGATGTATACCTAACGGGTCGTGTTGATTTTCTTGAGATCTGGAGCGATCGACGAGGTTTTTGGAGATCTGGGTCGTGTTCAATCGTCTCTTTGGTTTCAATCTCGGTAAGTTTCAGTTGAGTTCTTTGTTTTTTTTTTTTGGTGCTTGGGATTATGGAGAAATGAAATGAGATAATTTTGAGTTTTAGGGTTTGGGATTCAACGATGGGTTTTAGTTGGTTGCGATCTTTCTAATTATCACTCTTTTAGTTGAGTTTTGCTGTTTTTAGGGTAATTTAATCAACTGGGTTGTTGATTTTAGTTTCGAATTTGGAATTGGGTCTCTATTTTTTGATCCGAAATTGAAATTTCACATCTTTCTTTCTTTATGATTTTTTTTTGGTTGAATTGTTCTGAAATTGGGTGTGTTTATGAACTGAGTTATCACAGGTTTAGCTCTAGATTCAAAGGTTAGGTTTTGGATAGTTTTTGGCTTAAATTCAGGTGTTTATTTTTTTATTTACTTTGTAGTTGAATATTCGTAATCTGAATACTGTTATGAACTGTTGCACCAATTTCAAAACTATATTTAAAGTTGTAAGATTGAAATTATATGGTTGGAAATGAATTCATTAAAAATGGTTGATGCATTTGTCATTTTTTAGTTGGTTTGATCTTGTTGAGAAACAGTTGATTTGTCTATTGCCCTTTTACTTAGCATTGAGTTGGAGTACATTGAAATTTGATTTTGATTAATTAATATTTTTCTGAAACTTGAAATCCATACCAACTTAAATATTCTGGACAAATGTTTGCAGAAATGTGGCATGGTTATGCATTGCAGTTTGATTTCAATGATTAAGAACTTTGGGCGTACCACGGTTTTCCTTTTGAGAGTTGGGCTTTGAATTTTTTGGAGTTTCGGATTTCTTCATGAACAACAAAGTGGAGGCTCTTAGAGCTAAACAGAATGCCGAGAAGCGATTTGCTGAGAAAGACTTTACGGGTGCAAAGAATTATGCTTTAAAGGCTCAAGCCCTTTTCCCAGAACTTGAGGGTATAACTCAAATGGTGGCTACATTTGAAGTGTACATAGCTTCTCGGGTTAATGTTAATGGAGAAATTGATTTCTATGCAATTCTTGGATCAGATCCGTCAGCAGACAAGGCTAAGTTGAAGAAACAGTATAAGAATATGGCTGTGTTGCTCCACCCTGATAAGAACAAAACTGTGGGAGCTGATGGGGCATTCAGACTTGTATCTGAAGCGTGGACTCTGTTGTCTGATAATAAAAAGCGAAGCTCTTATGATCTCAGGCGAAATAGGCCAGTGCCCTCTGGGGATGTCCAGACAAATTCATCTTCGCTCTCTCATGGACTCGACACTTTCTGGACTGTGTGCACCTCCTGTCAAGTTCAGTACGAGTATCTGCGCAAATACTTGAACAAGAGACTTTCCTGTAAGAATTGCCGTGGAGTTTTCATCGCTGTGGAAACAGGAACAGCCCCGATAAATGGTTCGTTTCCTTATTGTCCTTGGTCATATATGCCTGATAATGGGTATGGAAGTCATGGTTATAATGGTGTTGCATATGTCCCAACCACTGCTGTATATTTTACAGGAAATGGGGTCTCGGGATTTCATTCTGGGCATGGGTCTGAGTATGTTTCTAATGTGTCATTTCAGTGGAGTTCGTCGCCTGGAGCTTCGGTTGGGATTGTGGGTCCTAATGGATTAAATACTAAATCAGCCAATGTTATTCATCAAGCCAATGGAATTAGTAATGGTGCAAGATCCAATGGAAAGCCCTATATAAAAAATCATGCTGCTGATATGAGTTCCAAGGCCTGCAGACCCCATAAGATAAGGAAGGTCGACATTGGAAGTGTTTCTAGAAATGGGAATGAAGAATTGGCTTCAAAGACTACTTCAGAAGTGAGAGCGGTTAATGGAAATGGAAATACCAAACATAATTCTAAAATTATCACTCCAAATGAGATTCCAACTAGACGTTGCTCTGCTGCCCCTGCGTTTGATGCGAGAAAGTTATTGATGGACAAAGCAAGAGCAGAAATCTGTAAAAAACTGGAAGAACTAAGGGTGGCTTCAGCTGCAGCTGCTGAGAAGAATGCAAAGACGTGTGATGAAGTTGGTAAATCTGGAGAGACTTCTAACAAAACAGACTTGGCCCTTTCTGTTCATCAACCAGAGCTGAAGAAAACTGTGTCAATGCCAATAACAGTCCCCGACTCAGACTTCCATGATTTTGACGAGGATAGATCAGAGGAATGCTTCAAGCCAAAGCAAATATGGGCTATATATGATGAAGAAGATGGAATGCCTCGATTGTACTGTCTGATCCGCGAGATCATTTCGGTGAAACCATTTAAAATTCACATAAGTTACTTGAACTCAAAATCTGATGATGAGTTTGGGTCTGCAAACTGGGTGGATTCTGGGTTTTCCAAATCCTGTGGAGATTTCAGGGCAGGAAACTATGAAGTTGTTGACCAAGTCAATATATTTTCTCATCTTCTGAGCAGGGAAAAGGCTGGCCGGGGCGGTTGTGTTAGAATCTACCCTAAAAGTGGAGACATTTGGGCCGTATATCGAAATTGGTCACCGGATTGGGATAGAACAACCCCGGACAAGGTGAGGCACCAGTATGATATGGTGGAAGTTCTTGACGATTACTCTGAAGAGCTTGGAGTCTGCGTTACACCCCTGATTAAATTAGATGGATTCAAGACGGTTTATCAGAGGAACAAGAACAAGAATGCCATTCGGCTGATTCCAAGGAAAGAGATGTTACGGTTTTCACACCAAGTGCCTTCTTGGATACTTCAAGTAGAAGGCGTCAAATTACCTGATGGGTGTTGGGATCTGGACCCAGCTGCTACTCCAGATGAGCTTCTCGTGGCTGCAAGCGAAGGGAAGACTGAAGACAAGCCTTGATTGATTTTTTTATCTGTTCTTGACAGTCTTGAGATTTAAAATGTACAGATTTAAACACATAGTCTGAGGGGTTAATTCTCATAGAATTAGATAGATTGGAGGATCACAAGGTGAGCCACGGCATTAGACCCTGGATTGTTTTAGAGGTTTCCACTTTTTATTCAGCTAAACTTGTAACTGGAATCCCACATCTATTAACTTCTTGTTTACTGAAATTGATATTGGCTTCTTTCATTAGTCTTATGGTGGAGGCTGCATCAACTGCTTATTCGGATCAAGCATAGTTTTATGTTTGAATCCCCAAACTCTCGTACGAAAGTTTTGGAAAGGTGCCATTGAGCTAGAAACTCTAGACGTTAAAGAAAGAGATGACGGCTAGGTTTGGTTTGTTTTTTAGAAAAAATTTTGAGAAAAATTCTCTACAAACAAATTTTCAAGAGTAATCAAACCAAACAAATTTTTTCAAAAAAAAATTTAAAATTTTGTTTGGTTACTTGCTTTTCAAAATGACTCTCTCTCATACATATCAAATCAATTACTTTTTTTAAAACTCTCTTCTCAAAATAATTTTTCAAAATCATTTTTAAAAAAAGACAAACCAAACAAATTTTCATACTTTTTATCTTAAAAATTACTCTACAAATATAAACCAAACACACCTCTTAAAAAAAACAAACAAAAGATAATGAGTGAAAATACAGTAACGGGTTAGATTTAAAAAAATGAATGAGATGTTGGTAATGATTTATCATGGTCACTTTAGCCTCTCATAATCAAGACTCTTTCCAAAATCACCACTTGATAACTAATACCATTTTATATTGTTACCAACAACATCATCTATCCTCGTGACCAGAACCGCTTCGAATTGTTAGAACACATCACTCTAGAATTGACCTGCAAGTATATATTGCCTCAGTTTGGCAAGATGGTTTTCAGGCTTTTTTGGCTATTTTAGTCACAAAAAACAAAATAGGCTATTTTAGCCATAACAAACAAAACATCACATCCAACCCATAATCATTACATTCTTCTCTCACAAAAAAAGTCAAAAAAGTCAAAAAGTCAAAAAGCCCTTCCCAAACCAAGCTTTTTAGCCCAGGCTAAAATAGTCAAAAAAGCCAAAAAGCCAAAAAGCCAACCCACTTCCCAAACGGAGGCATTGTAACAATTTCATCTCACACCAAAAAAATTGATAAATAATCTTGAATATATGAATAGGAACAATCAATTCAAATGTTGACTATTTTTTTTTTTTTGATGAGTTCTAATGGTTTAGAGCATCTCCAATGCACTAGGCATATAATACTTGTTAGTTAAAATGCCTAGTGTGATTCACTTTTTTCAATTCCAACGCACTAGGCATATGATTAGGCATTTTGGCTCAACTCATATTCACTAGCTACATGTAGCTAGCCTTCAACGCTAGGCAAAATGTATTCAATCATTAGGATCATTTCCCTCCATCTTTGTTGTTGACGTGACATTCTATAAAATTAATAATATTTGGATTAATAGTTAAAATAAAGAGCATGGTTGGAGTAAAAATATAAAACAGGTGATAGACAAAATAAAATATATACTTTATAGTAATATTTAGATAGGTAAAATGCCTACTACCGTTGGAGATGCTCTTACTTTTTATCAGACTCAACCTGCCCTTAATCACACTTTGCCTTTGAACTTAATTTATTTATATCTTGTCCACTTTTTAGGTTAGTCACACTTTGCCCATGAACCATTAATATCTAAAAATTATTATTTACGTTTTCATAATTTTGCCCCCAATTAATGACAGTCAGTAGTGTCAGGGTGATAGTTGAGAGGGCAAAATAGTACAGATATAATGGAAAATTTTATTTATACAATAATTTTGTATCTTTATATTTATTTTCTCATTTTAACATTGAGAAGTAATTGAAATTCTCTTTACACATTTTATAATACAAAAACTAATCTTAAATTAAATTCTTTTAAAATGTGTACAGATTTTTCTTTATACTTTTTATAATACCAAAACTAATCATAAATTAAATCATTTTAAATCTCTACAAATTTTTCTCATTACACATATTTTTTTTGAATCATTCCAGTGCTATTTTATCAAATAAATTATATTTGTCCAATCATCTGTTACCGCACATTTACAGATTTACTTTCTTTAAAATATCATTTTTTTTCCCTAAATTTATAATGGGCTTGCTTGGTTATATATTGTCAAACAATTTGGATTATTCCAGTGTCATGTTGCGAAACAAATTAGATTTGTCCACCCATCTGTTACTGCATGTTTACAAATTCATTTTCTTTAAAACATCAAGCATCCATAAAAATATGAAGTGTAAAAACATTCATAAAAATATTCATAAAATGTGTCAAAAACAAAAATTTTCAAATTTGTTAATACAAGTATGTGTAAAACACATACTAAGATGTTATTACAATACATCTATGTTGATTTGATAGTTTTGGTAGTTACTATATTAGTATATGTTTTCTCTCATCCATTAACACATGAGTGATGAAAACGAATCAAATTACTTGCTTTCGGAAGTACTGGATGACCATGAAGCAGATAAATTTAACAAACTATTAAAAATACACTACAAGCCTTACTGCAATGAATAGAAGCATAATCCCTTAAAGATTAAAAAAAAAATGTCAAAAAAAAAAATTGAAAATGTTTCGCAATGATTAGTTACCGAGCATGTATTTTTTGTCCGGTAGTAAGTTACTGAATAAGTATTTTTTGTTCGGTAGTGGATTACTGGATATGTATTTTTTTATTCGGTAGTGTGATTTTGAACTATTTGATTTTATTCGGTTCTGAAACACTGAACAAAAGTTGAACAATCCTTTTCAAAAAACAAACGAAAAAAAAAAACTCACAATTTCACTTTTTTACTGGTCTTTCATCACTATTGATTCGTCCATTGCTTTCTTTTATAATCAAAACACATAATTTTCACTTTTTGAAAGTAGATGTATAGTAGAGAAGAATCAGAAAGAAAAAAAGAAAGAAAGTAGAAATTGAAGTAGAATGGGTTTAAAGTGGTAATCAAATCTATTTTAATTTTTATTTTTTATCCTTAAAAGATAATTTAACACATAGGTAAAATTGAAAAAACAAAATATATCTCAAATGAAAAGTCTGAAAAGGTAAATATGTTCCGTAAGTAGAATTTTCCCAAATAACATAAGCATGATAATTAAGGGGCCAAAATATAAATTTACCATCGGCTTGGTAGCCATTATGATTTATTTTGACAACATGATTAAAAACCAACTTCTTATTATTATTATTATTTTTTTTTATAGTGTCATACTTTTATTTTTCTTATAAATTTTGAAAATAATAATAATAATAATAATAGATACCCTAAAGTTTTATTAAAATCAACATTTGGTAGAACTTGGAAATGTCTAAGCAATTTTTATCACAAAAAAAAAAAAGCAAGAAAACAACAACTTTTTAACATACTTCCAAAATACGCTCTGGGTTCTGGTCTCCACTTCAGAAAACTTCGAAATCGAGAAGGCGAAGAAAAATGAATCCTCCTCTCTGGCACAAAATTGCTGGTCTTTCTGGTATGCTAGCCCTCTCTCTCTCTCACTCTCTCTTTCTCTCTCTATATATAGATATACAGATATATACACACACACTCACATATACTCATATAATTGTAAGCATGTATTTATGTATAGATATACACATATATACACATATCTGCTTTTGAGGTTTGTGTTGATGACGAAGTCCCTTTTGGAAACAGGGGTAGTAGCACTTGGGTTGGGGACATATGGTGCCCATGGCTTCAAACCCCAAAACCCCACTTATAAAGAGGTATATATATTTTTTTTAAAGTTCTATTCTTGTTTAATTTCTTCATCCACCACCTGTTTGTTGTTAATCCCAAGAGAAACCCAACTTGATATTGTACCACTTTTTGGTGGTAATGTAATTGAAGGTTTGGCACACTGCATCTCTCTACCATTTGGTTCACACAGCTGCCCTGGTGGCTGCTCCTGTCACCAGACACCCCAACATTGTGAGTCCCCCTCTACTTAATTTATTATTCCCAAGAAACTCAATATTTTCATAATGTATATGTAAAATCATATCATATGCTATAAATTTAGTTTATTTATTTGTTTGTTCTTGTATTTGGTTGTAGTTTGGAGGCCTCTTGACTACTGGAATTTTGGCATTCTCTGGAACGTAAGTGTTGCTTTGCTTTCATAAATGTAATTGTAATGTTAAATATGTTTTCTAAGATGTTGCATAGATCAAATTGATACTTCTTTGTTTGTATATCTAGTGAGAGTATACTTCTTGTTAACCTTTGTTGTTATTAAAGTTTCTTGTATGTGTAGTAAGGTATCTTTCATTTAGTGAGGAGGCTGCTCACTTTAAAGTTTCTTGTATGTGTAGTAAGGTATCTTTCATGCACCCTAGACAAGGGTTTACTACGCCATCCTTTGTGTGATAGTTCCGCGGTTAATAAACAATATTTAAGTATTAAAAAACTTGTTTTAAACAGAGAGGTAAAGCTAAAAAAACTTTTAACACCTAGTTTGGTTCACTAGAATAATTTTAGGTAGGAATGGAATGGAATGTGATAGGAATAGTCATTCCCATTTCAATGTTTGGTGACAAAATGGGAATCAATCTAAGAATTGAATTGTCATTCTGATTCCTATGTTTGCTATGCTAGAATGATGATTGGAATGAAATGAAATTTACTTGAAACTGGATTTTTTTTTTTTTTGTGTGTGTGTGTGTGTGTGTGTGTACAAGCTGGAGCTTTGTTTTCCCTCTTTAGTCTGATTTAGTAGATACAATAGGTTGTATATCCTGCTGAGATTTTAATGGAAACCAACAGAGAACTAGGTTCTTCTTCGTGGGACTTCCATATCAACAATAGCTGCAGTTGAACTTTGATAGTCTGTTTACGACAGTAACTAATAGAGCTTATACTAGGGGGGCATAATGGAGTTCTGCATTAGTGAAAACTGAGTGCTTAACTATTTATATAGTCAAACAACATTTCTAGGCAACCACCTTAGTGTCAACGAACTTTTCACCAGAGGCATTCGAGCAACATTCAGAAATTGAATTTTGGAAGACCTCATCTTCTAATGCAAACTGCTAAATTCTTCTTGCCTTACATTTGTTATCTGAGTATCCTAAATGCAAGACATTTGTTGTACTATGTTGTGGTACTGGTACCCATCCTCCATTTAGTTAGAATGCTGGAATTTTTTATGTTGTGTTTGGTTGGGGGATTTGGAGAGGGATTTGGAAAGGGAAATGGAAAACGTAGGTGAAATGTGAATAAATCATGCCTATATTTCACATAGTTTCACACACCTTTTCCCTTTCTCTTTCCAAATCCCTCTCCAAATCCCCCAACCAAACACACCATTAAGCTTTGCTCTAAATTACAATGTTTTTTGAGCTATGAAACTGTGGCTGGAAGAAAATGGGGACCACTATGATGCACTGAAATTTAAGCAGAAGATCTAATTGCACATGTATACCTTATATTCAGTTGTCCTTATTATCCCAATGGCTTGGATTGTTGGAGTTACCTTCAAGGTAGCCTTTAATGTGTAGAAACCTTATTGGGTCTGTTTCTTGGGTTTTATTGATTTTTGTGTGAAATCATTCATAATAGATATTTTTACTTGTGGCTGAGAGCAAATGTGATATTGCCTATAGTGTGAAATGCTGTCTCTTTGCAATTACAATGCCCTGATTGAATGCACTTTTGTCATTTTCTATGTTGTTTGTCTAGCTTTGTTGAAATTACCATCCAACAATTTGTTAATATTGAAGACACTTGTCATTTTTTTTTTATTATATGATAATGTCAAAGTTGAAAGCAATTATGGGATTTTGCAGGTGTTATGCTGTGGCATTTCTTGAAGACAGAAAGTACTCTACCTTAGCTCCATTTGGTGGCTTTGCATTTATTGCTGCTTGGGCAAGCTTGCTTTTCTGATACTTCAAATTGGAGAGTTGAGTAAGTTCTATTTGCTACACTCGTGAAGTCGTATTGTTGAGATTTTGGACAATGGAACCCAGATATTACCCTTTTTATCTTTGAGTTTGGCCAGTTACTAATATAATTTCTTAGTTTAGAATTATTCCAATATGTTCGTTTAATGGTTTTTGCTGTAAATCTAAAAAATGCTTATGGATGTTGGAATTTTATAAATTGCTAATTACGAATAAATCAAACTTTATAAACTGATGGGATCAACACACCATATCAGTCTCATTTTGGTCATCCTCAAATGTTATTCCCATCTATTAATAGAAGGCGAAGATGAGGAATTAGCAACCCCTCTACTCATCCAAGTAATTTCCTCATAAAAAATAAGAGGGTGACCTTATTCTCGAAATTCATGATATGCATCAGTTATGGTTTCTATCCAATTCACCAAATTGAGCAAAAAAATGAGAACATCTTTTAAAAATACAATCAAATTGTTCTCGTTCATCACATTGCATGCTTGAAATCAGCAATGCAAGGTCCAACAATGCTTTGTCATAATGATAAGTCTCACCCAAAACCATTAATTCATAGGTAAGTTTTGCATCCCTGCATTTCTCTTTTTGAAGAAACATAACATAGTACGATTTTGCTTCGTTTTTGTTGGATTTTATGTTCGATTCCAACAAGAATTCAATCTCATTGCAATAAAAATTACACAAGAAACCTGGGAAGAAACTCAAAGTGGCAACTGACAACCATTGTGACCTGTAGGCAGATATTTTAGATTTTAGAAGAAGGTTTCTTCATATGGACAGGAAATAGTAAACAAGGAAAAGAAAAGAAAAGAAAAATTATGGCAAAAAGTAAAAAAAGGTGGATTGTAAACAAAGTCTGATTCAAAGTGGTGACTCGTGTTGTTGAATAAGAAATTCCTATAAATTAGTAAAATTTGAAATCAAAACCGAACATGGTTTTGTGGATCTCGAAAACTAGAGGTAACAATATCTAGTTTGTACTTGTATGAATGTGGGTATCAGTCCAATTAAGGCTGCCAACGTGAACAACTGTTTGAAACAAATCAGGCATCCCTTGAAACATAAGTTTCTTGTATGCTCCACTGTTTGGATCATAAGAAACTAAAACTCCACCTTCGTACTCCATCAAAATATTGCCATTTTCAAAGAGGCATAGAGCTTGAGCAAATCTCTGATTCAAAGCAGTCTTCCAAATCCTATATGATTGCCGCGATTCTGGAACTGTGAAGCACAATCTTCAATGTTGATTTTTTTCATCCATGACTCTTTCAAATTGTATTCTTTCATCACGCAAATCTCGAATGTTACATATTCGTAGCAAACAACTGTAGAAAGACACCCTCCTAAACTGCCAGATGATAATTAGTCCTATTAAGGTCACCGCATTCTGGTCTCGGGACCTCTTGAAACTGCTCATCTGCTAGGTCAAAAGAAACAATGCTTCTGCTATGATGATTCTGAGTCCCTAGACATTGAGTCAACCAATGCAGTCTTCCATTCACCAAAGCTTCCGATGCTCACCGTTCAAGCTTGTGAGGACTTTTCCTACACTTCTCCAATTGTTGCTGCCAAGACTATATACGTGAACCTCTGATCTTGGTGTACGAGAACGCGGGAACACAGTATATTGATTCCAGTAAAGGGTTATCTTAACTACCTTGTACTTATTAGTCACTGGATGGAACCCAAATCCAAACACCGCCTCTTGATCATCAAACTGCCTTGATTTGGGCAGCTCTTTGTATACCCTAGGAAAAGGATTGTATATACAGACTGGATCATCATATAAAGAGTCAGATAAGCATAACAAGCCATTACATGAGGCTATTACATTAAACTCATGCATCGCATCACGAAAAGGTGTTTGAATTCTTCTCACAATCTCATTGTCCATCTGATCAGACAATTTGACAAAACAAAGCTGATTTCTGATAGGATAGTCGCAATGAAAAATTAGGCATGTATTGTTCTCGGCTGTCCGGGAGAAGTGCAGGGCGGCAAGATGTGGGTCATATGATAACATATACCAGAATCGGCTTACAAAACAGAATTGTAGAAGAGATGCTATGGGAAGCCTTGAAAATATGTCGAGGGTGATGTCAGGTTGTATACTTTCCATCCCACTTCTTGGTTGATCATCTTCTAGCTTGCACTTTCTTTTCTTACTATGTTTCTTACTGGCCAAATCCATGATTCAGTAGAAAATTAGAAGTCACAATGACAAATTAAGAAGGTTTTGAGATGAAGAAAGAACAACTTTGGAGCAGATGAAAATGGGTAACTTTGACGACATCAGAGTAATTAATATCATTAGAGATAAAGAAAACACGAAAACAATGTCTTGTGGGATCCACTATTGAGTGTGATTTCTTGGAAAATGTTGTAAAAAAAGCCTTCTCTTTCATTTGAGGGAAAAAAAGCATGAGGGACACGACAAATCTAGACTGTCCGACCACAAAGTAGGCACGGAATGAAGAGTCTGTCAATCTATTTTGATGCCCCTAGTGATGGTGACCAAGGAACACTATTACTAATAAGAACAAAACTGTCCCTCTTGAACTATTTTCACCTGAAGGTAGCTGCCTTGGATGCATTCTACAAAGGTTGATTCAGTCAGTCAGGTGTTAGAGAAAATTCTGATGAACATTTTCTAGGAGAAACTCATAAATTTTTAATCCCAGGACGACGAAATTTTAGAAAACCTATAACATTTCAAAGTAAAAAACAAAAGAAAAAGAACTTCATATCATGACCACATAAAAAGTTTGAAATTATTATTTCTAGCTATTGATAAAAGAATCACATCTGTATCCAGAAATCCCATGTGTTTCAAGATCTCAACAATCCAGTTTCCTTCGGTCTCCTGTCAGTACCTCAAATTAGATTATGGGTTTGTCAAAATTTCGTATAAGTCTTGAGAAAGTTGTTGCAAATGTAAGTCAATTTTGCAAACATGGAGTTTTAGTTGGTGAACTGAGAGGTAATATGGTGATGCAAATGCAGTTTGCACATGTAAACATGGTTGTTAAAATTGTACTATTCATGATTTGATACGAATTTCATCTAAACGATTCAAGTTGAGTTGTTGAATCTTAAATTGTGTCGTACAATTCAATTTCAGAAAATTGAGGGGGGCATGTGACCCCCGGTCCCATTGTGCCTCATCCCAAACCAACCCCATGAATCTGTAGGTAAGTTTTGCACCCTTGCATTTACTTTTTGGAGAAACATAACATCGTATGATTTTGGCCTTGTTTTTGTTTGATTTTAGGTTTGATTCCAAGAAGAATTCAATCTCATTATAGTAAAAATTACATGAGAAACCTGGTAAGAAACTGAAAGTGGCAACTGGCAATCACTGTGATATGCAGGCAGACATTTTACATTTTAGAAGGTTTCTTCATATGGACAGGAAATAGTAAACAAGGAAAATAAAAGAAATATTATGGCAAAAAGACACAACTGGTGGACTGTAAACAAAAGTTTGATTCAAAGTGGTGACTCCTATTGTCGAATAAGAAATTCCTATATATTAATAAAATTTGAAATTTAAAACCAAAGATGGTTTAGAGGATCTCATAAACTAGAGGTAACAATATCTAGTTTGTACTTGTATGAATGGGGGTATCAATCCAATTAAGGCTGCCGACATGAACAACTGTTTGAAACAAATCAGGCATCCCTTGAAACATTAGTTTCTTGTATGTTCCACTGTTTGGATCACGAGAAACTAAATTTCCACATTCGTACTCTATCAAAATATTGCCATTTTCAAGAAGGCATAGAACTCGAGGAATTATCTGATTCAAAGCAATCTTCCAAATCCTATATGGTTGAGGCAATTCTTGTTTCAAGAACTGTGAGGAGCAATATTCAATGTTGAATTTTTTCACCCATGATTCTTTCGAATTGTATTCTTTCATCACCCAAATCTCAAATCTTTTATAACGGTGGAAAACAACAGCAGAAAGACACCCTCCTTAAACTGCCAGATTATAAAAAAAAATTATTCAGGCCGCCACATTCCGGTCTCGGGACACCTCGAAACTGCTCGTCCGCTAGGTCAAAAGAAACAATGCTTCTGCTACTATACTGACTTCGACATGGAGTCAACCAATGTAGCCTTCCATTCACCAAAACTTCCGATTCTTGTCATTCAAGCCGGCTGGATACTTTTCCTATAGTCCTCCAATTAGTGCTGCCAAGAGTAAATACTTGAACCTCTGGTCTCCCTCTTTGATTCTGGAAAAGGGTTATCTTAACTATCTTGTATTCATTAGTCACTGGATGGAACCCAAATCCAAACACCAGTTCTTGATCATCAAACTGCCCAGATTTGGGCAGCTCTTTGTATACCCTAGTAAAAGGGTTGTATATATAGACTGGATCATCGTAAAAAGAGTTAGATAAGCATAACAAGCCATTACATGAGGCTATTACTTTAAACTAAGGCATCGTATCACAAAAAGGTGTTTGAATTCTTCTCACAATCTCATTGTCCATCTGATCAGACAATTTGACAAAACAAAGTTGATTTCTGATAGGATAGTCGCAATGAAAAATTAGGCATGGATTATTCTTGGTTGTTTGGGAGAAGTGCTGTGCAGCAAGATGTGGGTCATATGATAACATGTGGCAGGCTCGGCTTACAAACCTGAATTGCAGAAGAGATGTTATGGGAAGCCTTGAAAGTACATCTAGGGCAATGTCAGGTGGTAGACTCTCCATCCCAATTCTTCATTGATCATCTTCTAGCTTGCCCTTTCTTTTCTTGCTATGTTTCTCACTAGCCAAATCCATTACTCAGTAGAGAATCAGAAGTCACAATGACAAAGTAAGAAGGCTTTGAGATGAAGAAAGAACAACTTTGGAGTAGATGAACATGGAGAACTTTGAAAACATCGGATTAATTAATGTCATTAGAGACAAAAGAAAAACACAAAAACAATGTCTTGTTGTGCGGTTTACTATTGAGTGTGATTTCTTGGAAAAAAATAATGTAAAAAATTCTCTCTCTTTCATTTGAGGGAAAAGCATGAGGGGCACGACAAATCTAGACCATCCAACCACAAAGAAAAATAAAGAAGTATGTCATTCTATTTTCATGTATTGGATTGATGCCCCTAGTGATGGTGACCAAACAACACTATTACTAATAAGAGCAAAACTGTCTCCCTCTTGAACCATTCCCACCTAAAAATAGGCGCCTCGGATGTATGCATTCATATAAGGGTTGATTCAATTAGTAAGGTGTAAGAGACAATTCTGATGAAAATTTTCTAGGAGAAACACGCATAATTAAAAAACAGCTTAGGAATATGAAATTTTAGAAAACCTATAACATTTCAAAGTAAATAACATAATCAAAACAACATCATAACATGACTACATAAGAAGTTTGAAATGATTATTTCTAGCTATTGATACGGAAATGCTACAGACCCCCAGTGGGGTGACCCCCACTAACAACCCCCAGTGACGTGTCGCACTGGGGTTGGCCGAAAATCAAAAAAAAAAAAAAAAAACAGTTTTTTTGTCCAATAGGAGCCGACCCCCAGCACCCCCAGCTGGGGGTCTAAGTCATTTTTCCTATTGATAATAGAATCACATTTGCATCCAGAAATCCAAGATATTGCCACAGAATTTTATGTCCCACGTGTTTGAAGAACCCATGGTGTGTTCCAAGATCTCAACTATCCATCCAGTCTTCAGTCTTCTGTCAGTACCTCAAATTTGATCACAGGTTTATCAAAATTCATACCAGTCTCGAGAAAGTTGTTGCAAATATAAGTCACTTTTGCAAACATGGAGTTTTTAGTTGGTGAGCTGAGAGGCAATATGGTGATGCAAGTGCAATGCATACATGTAAACATGATTGTTAACGCTATTCATGATTTGATACAATTTTGTGCTAAAACGATTCAAGTCGTGTTGTTGAATCTTAAATTGTGTGAAGCCTACAATTCAATTTCGATTCTCTATGATTCATTGTAATTTAGTTATGCGTATAATGCATGAAATTGATGTCGTTTTGCAAAATAAGAAAAGAGATCAAATATTGATAAATATGGATTTAGATGTATTTATACATATATACCAAAGTTTGAAGTTGTGTTCAAGTTTGGCTAAGAAATAGAGCAATCCGTTCTCTTCGATAGTACACAGGTTTATTTATATTTCCATAGTTTCCAAGCAACGAGGATTGCATACTATGGAGCACAGATAGGGAATATGGATACGATACAAATACAGCCATGTGATAAAACCATAAAAAATATAATATGGGTATGGTCGGGATACATTCGTAAAAAAATATTTATAATTTGTAGTATTGTATTAAAAATAAAATCAACGAATGGTGAGAAATCAATTCTTAGTAATTAAGTATTAATAGCTAGTTTATTCTTTCTATAGGTCCTATAAGAATTTCATTTTAATCTTACAAGTGTTGTATGCAAAAGTATCGTATGTAAATTTAGTTCTTTAATTGTTGAAATCTGATTTTAGAATCATTATATATATTTTTTGTTTATCCTTACTTTCCATAAAGTATATGGGCAACATGTATGACACAAGAAGGATACACCTATTCAATAAATTATGAAAAAAAAAATTGTACTATTGTAATTATTTTCTTCTTCTCTAAGAAGTAAACAAAATATTAGAAAACTATTCTTGTATTCATTCTAACAATTAAGCTCTAGTGCTATGCAAAAATTATTATAATCTTAATTTCATAATAATTTGGATACGTGACCTAAAATATCTTAAAAGTATCCGATACTTCTCAAAAGTAAAGAAAAATAATTTCAAATATGAACACATTTAAGAAGTATCAAACATGTGTCCACTAGTATCCAAGGAGTATTGTATCTGATATGGATACAACTTTCTTTTTAAAAACATCAGTGTTTTAAAGATTACATACAACTTATACAAAGCAATGCAGATTGTCTATTTTATTGAAGAGCAAGGTAGAGGTGAGAATATCTAGTTTGTACTTGAATGAATGGGTTTACCAATCCAGTTAAGGCTGCCAACATGAACAACCGTTTGAAACAAGTCACGCATCCCCTCAAACATTAGTTTCTTATATGTTCCACTGTTTGGATTATGAGAAACTAAAACTCCACCTCCGTACTACATCAAAATATTGCCATTTTCAAAAATGCACAGAACTCGAGCAATTCTTTGATTCAATACATTCTTCCAAATCCCATATGGTCGCTGGAATTCTGGTTTCATAAACTGCCGGATGCAATCTTTAATGTTGTATTTTTTCAGCCACGACTCTTTCACACTGTATTCTTCCATCACCCAAATCTCATATCTATCATAAAGGTAGCAAGCAACTGCAGAAAGACACCCTCCTAAAACTGTTAGTTGTTAATTAGCCATAATCAGGTTGCCACAATCCGGTCTCGGGACCTCTTGAAACTGCTCATCCGCTAGGTCAAAAGAAACTATGGCTACATCACGATGAATCCGAGTCCCTCGACATATTCGCAGTTGAGCCAACCAATGAAGTCTTCCACACACCAAAGCTTCTGATGCTCGCTGTTCAAGTCGGTAAGGTACTTTTCCTATACTTCTCCAATTGGTGTTGCCAAGACTACATACTTGCACTTCTGATCGTGTATGATCATGAATTCTATGCCCACGAGGACGCTGACGTGGAAACACGTTATACTGATTCCAGTATAGGACTATCTTAACTACCTTGTACTCATTAGTCACCGGATGGAACCCAAATCCAAACACCACTTCTTGATCATCAAACTGCCTGGATTTGGGCAGCTCTTTGTGTTTCCTAGTAAAAGGATTGTATATATATAGTGGATCACTGTATAGAGAGTCAGATAAGCATAATAAGCCCTTACATGAGGCTATTACGTTAAACTCAGGCATCGTATCACTAAAAGGTGTTTGAATTCTTCTCACAATCTCATTGTCCATCTCATCAGACAATTCAACAAAAAAAAGTTGATTTCTGATAGGATAGTCGCAATGAAAAATTAGGCATGGATTATTCTTCGCTGTCCGGGAGAAGTGCAGGGAAGCAAGATGTGGGTCATATTGCAACATCTGCCAGGATCGGTTTACAGAACTGAACTGCAGAAGAGATGTTATGGGAAGCCTTGAACATATGTCGAGGGCAATGTCAGGTTGTAGACTCTCCATCCCGTTTCTTGGTTCATCATCATCTAGCTTGCACTTTATTTTCTTGATATGTTTATCACTAGCCAAATCCATGACTCAGTAGAGAATCATAAGAGACATTGAGAAAGTAAGTAGGCTTAGAGATGTAGAAAGAAGAACTTTGGAGCAGATGCGCATGGAGAGAACCTTGACAACAACATATTAGTTAATATCATTACTTGTGGGATCCACTATTGAGTGTGATTTCTGGGGAAAATAATGTAAAAAAGTCTCTATCTTTCATTTAAGGGAAAATTCGTGAGGGACACGACATGAAAAATCTAGAACGTCCGACCACAAAGTTATGCACGAAATGAAGAACATTATAAAAGTCCTCTTTCATGTAATGGATTGATGCCTCTAGTGATGGTCACCAAGCAACACTATTACTAATAAGAACAGAACTGTCTCCCTCTTGAACCATTCCCATCTGCCTTGGAAGTATGCATTCATACAAGGGTTGGTTCAATGTTGGTTCAATCAGTCAGGTGTTAGAGATAATTCTGACGAAAATTTTCTGGGAGAAACTCATAATGGAAAAGAAAAAAAAAAAAACAAAAGACAGCCTAGGACAACAAAATTTTAGAAAACCTATAACATTTCAAAATAAATAACATGAGCAAAATAACATCATGACATGGCTACATAAGATGTTTGAAATGATTATTTGTAGCTGTTGATAATAGAATCACATATGTATCCTGAAATCCTAGGTTGCACCTCAGAATTTGTTGTCCTTCATGTTGATGTTTGTATCTCAAATTAGATCCCAAGTTTATCGAAATTTGAACAAGGCTCGAGAAAGTTGTCACAAATGCAAGTCAATTTTGCAAACATGGGGTTTTTAGTTGGTGGGCTGAGAGTCAATATGGTGGTGCAAATGCAATGCATACATGTAAACTTGGTTGTTTGAATCGTGCTATTCATTTAGGATTTGATTCGTACAATTTGATATGGTTTTATGCATACAACACTTTTACTTGTTTAAAGTGTTATATGCCCAAGTGTTGTGCATAAATTTACTTGTTTAATTGGTGAAATCCAATTTTAGCATCATTATATTTTCTTATCTGTCCTTACTTTTGATAAATAAAGTATAGACATGAATATGGGATACATCTATGACAGATTATAAATTCTGAAAATTATGGTACTACTGTAACTATTTTCTTCTTCTCTAAGAAGTAACCAAAGTATTGAAAAACTATTCTTATATTTATCCTAATAATTATACTCTAACGCTATGCAAAAATTATTACAATATTAAACTCCTAGTAGTTCGGATACATGACATAAAATATCCGAAAAGTATTATAAAGTATCTAACACTTCTCAAAATTAAAGAAAATTAAATTGTACTATCGAATACATTTAAGAAGTACCAAATATGGTATCCATGGATATCCGTAGACTGTTAGTATCAGACTCTTTTCCAGAGAACAAGTGTTTCATAAATTACATACAACTTGTACAAAGCAATTCAAAACCAATTTTATTGAAGAGCAATGTAGAGATAACATTATCTAGTTTGTACTTGTATGAATAGGGGTATCAATCCAATTAAGACTTCCAAAATGAACAAATGTTTGGAACAAATCAGGCATCCCTTGAAACACTAGTTTCTTGTATGTTCCACTGTTCGGATCATGAGAAACTAAAACTCCACCTTTGTACTCCATCAAAATATTGCCATTTTCAAAAAGGCATAGAACTCGAGCAAATCTCTGATTCAAAACATTCTTCCAAATTCCATAAGGTCGTCGCCGGAATCCTGGTTTCAAGAACTGCCGGGACCAATCTTCAATGTTGAATTTTTTCGTCCACGACTCCTTCACACTGTATTCTTCCATCACCCAAATCTCAAATCTTTGATACCAAACAACTGCTGAAAGACACCCTCCTAGAACTGCCAGATGATAATTAGTCCTATTCAGGCTGCCACATTCCGGTCTCGGGACCTCTCGAAACTGCTCATCCGCTAGGTCAAAAGAAACTATGCTTCTGCTACGATGAATCCGAGCTCCTAGATATAACCGCGGGTGAGTCAACCAGTGTAGTCTTCCATCTACCAAGGCTTCTGATGCTCGCTGTTCAAGCAGGTAAGGTACTTTTCCTATACTCCTCCAATTGGTGCTTCCAAGACTATATACTTGAACTTCTGATCCTGTGTGATCATCAATTCTGAGTCTACGATGACGAGGATGAGGACGTGGACGTGGATGCGGCAACATATTATACTGATTCCAGAATAGGACCGTCTTAACTACCTTGTACTCATTAGTCACTGGATGGAACCCAAATCCAAACACCACTTCTTGATCATCATACTGCCTGGATTTGGGCAGCTCTTTGTATTCCCTAGTAAAAGGATTGTACATATATAGTGGATCGCCATATAGAGAGTCAGATAAGCATAACAAGCCGTTACATGAAGCTATTACTTTAAACTCAGGCATCGTATCATGAAAAGGCGTTTGAATTCTTCTCACAATCTCATTGTCCGTTTGATCAGACAATTCGGCAAAACAAAGTTGATTTCTGATCGGATAGTCGCAATGAAAAATTAGGTATGGATTAGTCTTGGCTGTCCGGGAGAAGTGCAGGGCAGCAAGATGTGGGTCATATGATAACATCTGCCAGAATCGGCTTACAAAACTGAATTGTAGAAGAGATGTTATGGGAAGCCTTGAAAATATGTCGAGGGCGAGATCGTGTTGTATACTCTCCATCCCACTTCTTGGTTGATCATCTTCCATCTTGCACTTGCTTTTCTTGCTTAGTTTCTCGCTAGCCAAACTCATGACTAGAAAATTAGAAGATAGAGTGGTGAGTCAGAAGGCTTAGAGATGAAGAAAGAACTTTGGAGCAGATTAACATGGGGAACTTTGGTAACAACGGTTTAATTAATGTCATCAGAGACAATGACCATAAAAACAATGTCTTGTGGGATCCACTATTGAGTGTAATTTCTTGGAAATTAGTGTAAAAAGTCTTCTCTTTCGTTTGAGAGAAAAACACGAGGGACACGACAAATCTAGACCGCCCACAGTTCAGCATATACAAGCACAAAGTTATTAATACCTCACTATTAGTATTGTAAATCAAACATGGCCTTGGAGTAGCACATAGTCATATTCCAAGGCAATCACTAATTATTTAGCCCCATGTTGTTCCTTATCCCAACATAAATTGTGGGTCTTTACGCCTCTCCATCAATCAAAACCTTATGAAGTACCATGTGTCCATATTCCAGGTGTACCGAATAATCACCCAAGTTATGCCCGAAGTGAAGAGTATGTGATTCTAGATTCGTGTAATGGATTGATGCCCCTCGTGACGGTGATGAAGCAACATTCTAACACTTAAGAATAGGCTAAATTACAAATACATTCCCTAAGGTTTGATTAAAATACAAATCACCCTCTATGATTTTGAAAATTACATTCCACCCCCTGAGGATTCTAATTTCATAACAAATCGTCCATTTTATTAATAAAGAATTAAGTCAATTAACAATTTTTAATAATGTTATAAATATGTTTCGATTAATAATTTAGGTAATTTTATTATTATTTAGGAGAGCAATTATGAATTTTTTTTTTAGTTAATTATGTTAAATAAAAAAATTTAACAATGGAGTATTTATAATTTTTCAAACTACAGGGACAATCTGTATTTTAAGTAAATTTCAGGGGGTATATTTGTAATTTACCCTTAAGAATAAAATTCCGTTTTTGTACTCTTCTCCAAGTCTTCAGAGAATTCAAATCAACCTCCAACCTTGAGCATTCTGCCTAATGCCGATCGATCAATACCCATCTAGATTTGCTCTAATGTTGAATTCCCTAATCCAATTGATTCCATATCGGAATGTACAATCATCTGCAAACTATTTTCTAAACTAATCTACAGCCCTATTGCTGCAGTCTGGTTTTTCTTGAATTCAAACTAGGAGTACGATTTTGAGTTCTTTAATAAAATTTAAGATCTGATTGTCTACCAGAACAGAACAAAGTTAAGATTTGGAGCTCGAGTGACCACATCCAAAGTATAACATATGAAAGCAATCCATATCAAGTATTTTAAAAACATGACAACGTTCCAGAGTTTGAATTTCTCTGTTAATATTCAACAACAAAACCAAAAAAAAAAAACACACAACAAAAAACGACTTCCTAGCAACAGATCATGTTCAAAGAGTTAAAATTTACAAACATGGATGCCTATATATGTAGTTGTACACAATCAATTCAACACTAATCGTACAAAAGAATACAGAACTGTGCCTATATCAGTAAGAGTGAAGGTACAGGTAAAAAGTATCTAGTTTGTGGTTGTAATGAGGTGGGTATCGATCCAATTAAGGCTGCCAACATGAACAACAGTATGAAACAAACCGGGCATTCCCTGAAACACTAGCTTCTTAAAGGTTCCACTGATTGGATCATGAGAGACTAAAATTCCACCTTTGTATTCAATCAAAATATTTCCATTCTCCAAAAGACACAGAACTTGCGCAATCCTTCGCCTGAAACTATGCTTCCAAATCCCATATGGTCGCCTTAACTGTGGTTTCATGAACTGCAGTGAATAATCTTTGATCTTAAACTCTTTGATCCAAGACTCTTTCACATCGTAATCTTTCATAACCCAAATCTCAAATTTCTCATAATGACAACACACGATTGCAGAGAGACACCCTCCTAGAGCTGCCAGATGATAATTAGTCCTATTCAGGCTTCCACAATCCGGCCTCGGGATCTCCCTAAACTGCTCGTCCGCTAGATCAAAAGAAACTATACTGCGGCTATGACGAACACCTGGGCATCTCCGCGGCTGAGTCAACCAATGAAGCCTTCCATTCACCAGAGCCTCTGCTGATCTTGGGTCAAGCGGGTATGGCACTTTCCCAATACTTCTCCAATTGTTTGTGTTGAGACTCAACACTTGAACCTCTGATTGTGTATGATCACAAAATCTGAATCTCCGGTACCCATTCCAGTGATGGATAATCTTAACCACCTTATACTCATTGGTGACTGGATGAAACCCGAATCCAAACACCACCTCTTGATCATCAAATTGCCTGGACTTGGGGAGCTCTCTGTTTTCCCTCGTAAAAGGGTTGTACACATATATTGGGTCACTATATAATGAATCAGATAAGCATAACAACCCATTACATGAAGCTATTACATTGAACTCTGGCATCACAGAACAAAAGGGTGTTTGGATTTTCCTCACAATCCCATTTTCCTGATCTTGATCAGAAAATTCCACAAAGTGAAGCTGGTTTCTGAGTGGATATTCACAGTGGAAAATTAGACATGGGTTTTTCTTAGCTGTCCGAGAAAATTGGAGTCGAGGAAGATGTGGGTCTTGTGATAAGATCTGCCATGATCGACACGAAAATCTTAATTGGAGGAGAGAGCTTATGGGTAGCCTTGAAAGTATGTCGAGAGCAATCTCGCGGGGAAGAAGATCCAACCCTGTTGTGGGTTGATCATCATTTTCTTGCTTGCACTTTGTTTTCTTGCTGGGTATCTCGGTATCCAAACGCATGATTTGATCAGTAGAGTATTGTGGGAAGATAGAAATGAAGAAGGGTTGGAGAGGAAGAAAGAGTTTTGGAGAAGATGGACATGGAGAAAGGTTGATAAAGACAATTAAATACAACATTAGAAAGAGTTTTGGAGAAGATGGACATGGAGAAGGAAGGAAAAGAGATGTGTAGTAGTGTGGGGTATATGAAAAAGAGAATATATTGAATAATATCTAGGAAGATCATGCAAATGTCTTTAAAAGTAAATAAATACAACATTAGATAAACGACAAATCTAGACCGTCCAGTTAATATGAGCCAATTTTTTTTGAACGTTAAAAAAAAAAAGGTGGGGGGGGGGGGGGAACCTTCAAAAAATCTGATAAAAGAGTAGGAGAAATTCCATTGGAGTTCTGATATATATATAATTGGAGTATATATATATATATATATATAATTGGAGTATAAAATACATATAATTTTTATTAAAATAATATTACGTATCATAAAATAAATATTATAAAAAAAATTAAGAGATGAATTCAATAGTGATTGCATAACAACAATAAAATATTAAAAATTAATTCAAATGTATAGAATTTTTATAAAAACTTTTCATGATACCTAAAATTATTCTTTTTTACTATATAAATATATAAATAGTATTTCTCTTTCCATTCCCATCAACAAAAAGGGTAATTTATTAGGTACTCTCAAAGCAATATGTGATATTATTTTTATGATGTTTTGATGAAAAATCACAACATGTTAGGCTTGTTTGGGGTTTGATTTTTTGATTAAAATAATCAAAAGGTTAAAATATTTAATCATATCACTCTCTATTATTTTATTTTTCTTTTTGTATAAAATTAAAAATTAATTAAAATAATCTATTTTCAAACGAACTCTTAAGAAATCATTTATCGTAACCTGAAAAATTAGAAAAATTATTTAAAGGCATGTAGTGGTTTTTTTTTTTAAGATTAGGTTGTTTTTCCTCGCAATTCGTAAGAGTTTAAAGATTCGTTTGGTAATGATTTTTTAGTTAATTTTTTAACTTTTTTTAATTGTTTGGTTTTCTTATTTACCTTTTTTAGCTTTTTGTCCTGTGAATGACAAATTTTTTTGTTAATTTTTTTAATTTTTTGACTTTTTAACTTTTTTGAAATTTTTTATTCTTATGTGATTATTTAGCCCAATAAAAAAACCAAACCGGGGTTAATAACTGGATAATTATATCAAATTAAATAATTATAATCCAATAATAAATGTCTGCAAGCCGAACTACCATCGGGCCCAACAAGCAGGCAATACAACTCTTATAGAAATATAGTCGGTATCAAATCTCACCTCATAAAATTTAAACTGGTAATCTCACTACATAAAATAAATAGTTTAAATACTATGTGTGTGGGGAAACGTTTACGTTTTCAGTTTATATTTACAAAAAATTTATAAATTAATTTTTGTTTATTTTTAGAAAAACATAAACTACAGACGCGTTTGGTAATTGACAAAATGTTTTAAAAAATTTTAAAATATACAAAAGAGTAAGAAATGGCAAGTGGTGGCAAGTGGCAGCGAAAGACGGTGGTGGAAAGTGGTGACGGTGGGTGGTGGGTAGCTGGTGGTGGCGGTGGGTGACGGTGGTGGTGGTGGGCAGGTGGGTGGGTGGGTGATGGTGGCGGGTGGTAGCGGTGGTGGTGGTGGTGGTGGTGGCGGGTAGTGGTGGGTGGGTGGTGGCGGCGGATGGCGGGGGGGGGGAGGTGGGGGGGGGACTAGGGACTTACGGACGGGGGTCTTGTGCGCAGTTCATAACTCTTCCTGAAACAAGAGTACCCATGAAGCCACATTAGCTATTAACTACAAAATATTAAATGGGAAAAAAATGTAATTTGTTATACCTGTAATTTCACTGAATTTCAGAATTTTATACAGGTATTCTCAGATGAAGTAGCATACTCAACATTATCCATTTAGTTTCAGTGTAACATAACGCCAAAATTCAACTCTTAACTATTCAAGTCAGTCGAGTTCCAATATTTTTGCACGCCTTAGTCGTCTCAATATACTAACTCTACTCACATGAACACCTAAAAAATCATATTTCTTGCTTCTTCTTTTCATTCCAGCTTCAGTAGAATTATCACTTCGAAGAGTAGATTTGTTAAGGACATCTTTAACTCTTTCATGGCCTTTTCTCACAAAATTCTGACGTAAACCTTGTGACTGTAGATTTGCTCCCGGAAGGCGGCCAAAATAGTAAAGAGGATCAACATAAGAACTTGAGGAAGACACAATACCTTTCAAGTTGGTTGGCTGGACAAGCTTAACAAACTCCTGAAGACGGTGGTGGAAAATAGTGGCGGGTGGTGGCTAGTGTTGGGTAGTTAAAAAAAAAAAAAACTGAAAACTCAAAATGGAAACACATTTTTTGTGTTTTCATTTTTTGGCTAAATTTATAAACTGAGATCACTGATTTATAAATCAAAAATTTTACCAAACAAGTTTTTTGAGTTTTTAAAATTTTTGTAAATATAAACAGAAAACTGAAAACGTAAGTGTTACCAAACGGCACCTATGTGAGTGGATAAATTTTTTAAATTGGTTATTTTAATAAATTATTTTAGTTTTTAACTATTTGGTAGGTTAAAATTTTTGTGTATGAAAAGATTATTGAATTTTTTTATAATTAGATATGATATTTGTAAAAGAAAAAGTAAAATGATTATGAATTTGATGTGATATTTTATCTTATTAACTGTTTTAATCTATTTTATTTTTTCATAAATTTTAATCCAAAAAGTAAAAAATAATTTTTACCAAACAAGAACTATCCCCCCACGTGGAGGTGGGGGTTGCTGGGGGTCTCCAGCAGGGCCCTTATTTAAATTTCGTTTGACAATAAATTAGTTCAATAATTTTTTAAATTTTTATAAAAGGTGTATAAAAAAGTAATCACTGTGTTTGGTTTGAGTTTTCTGAATTAAGTTTTTTGAAAATTGATTTTTTTGATTTTTGTGTTTTTTTTGTTTTTAGTGAATATTTTTTAAATTTTAAACATTTTTTTTATTTTTTTAGATGCACCTTACTTACATGTATCTAAAAAGTAAAAAATTTGTGAAAAAATATTTTAAAAAATTAATAAATACATAAAAATACAAAAAATATACTGAATTCTTATATTTTTTTGTATTTTTGGTATTTAGTGAATTTTTAAAAGATTTTTTTAAATTTTTTTTTACTTTTTAGATGTATTTATGTTAGGTGTGTTTAGGGCTGCAAACGAGCCGAGCCGAGTTGGGCTTGTTTATTAAGATTTTAACGAGCTCGAGTTCGAGCTCGAGTTGAATAGAAATTTAACGAACCGAGCTCGAGCCGAGTTGGCTTAGGCTTGACTCGAGCTCGAGCTTGTTCATGAACCTTAACGAGCCAAAAAATTTATAAATTCATACTTGCATGTGAGACTAAAGTTACAATTAAAACTTTGATTATACAATTATATATGCAATATATATATATATATAAACATACTAAAAAAAAAGTCATATTTTATTTAAAATATTAATATCTACTACCATATTATATAGAATATACCTATCTATAGTTATAAGTATTATTTACATTATATTTTTTAAATATATAAAAAGTATTTCTCTATTTTTTATACCATAATTTTATACTATATATAAATAATTAAATTATTAAACGAGCCAGCTAACGAGCCGAGCTTACGAGATTGAGCTTTAGACTGTTTGGGCTTGTTATTAAATTTTAACAAGCTGGCCTTGAACGGCAAAAAAATTTAATAACAAACCGAGTTCGAACGAGCCTCTTAACCGAGCGAGCTCGAACGACGTCTTACCGAGCTGAGCTCGAGCTTGTTCACGAACGGGTCTGTTCTTATGCAGTCAGGTGTGTCTAAAAAATAAAAATAAAATTGTTTAAAATATTAACAAAATTTTAGTAAAAATAAAAAAACGAAAAATAAGGATAAATTTTTTAAAAAGTGGTTTTGAAAAACCCTAAACGAAGCAAGGTTGATGATTTATAGTAATTTTTTAATTAAATAATTACTCCCCGAGACATTAATTATTCCTTAAAATATTAGTCATAATCTGATGGCAGGGTGGTGCCTCCAGACCACAACTTGCACCTTTTTTCGGTGGCTTGTCTTTGCTTTGTCATCCAACCCAACTGACCCGTCACTTCAATAACTGAATTAACGTAACAAAATGTTAAGACCCAGGGGGGACTATTTTAAAAAGTGTTTTTTTTCCTTATTTATTTTTTTTAAGAAAATGTATAAAGGAAAAAAAATATATATGTACTTAAATAAGTTAATAAATTTATTTTTTTTATAATTATCAAAATAGGCCTAAATTAGAATTAAAAAAATACCATAGGTAACTAAAATTTATTTTAATATGTTGGCAAAGCCAATTGGGGCTAAATTAATTACTAAATGAAAAGCAATTCAAATCGTTTATATTTTAGAATTTGTTAATTACATTATTATTATAAAAAATCCATGTCGATCGAATAATGGATTACTATGTAGCCGAATCACTTTTTTATTAATCCGTTAATTTTCTGGACCGTCACTTTTTTCAAACAAAAGTGATCCAAATATATATTATTTGTTATAGGTCCTGGACCACTCGACATGCATTTTTTACATCAGAATAATGTACTCAATAAATTTTAAATACATAAACCGTTTCTGTATCTATCGAATAGCTAAACCTAAATGGAGCCCCAAATGGCCCCCGAACTGCACTCGAACTGTTCCATAATTCTGAACTAGAGAGAGCTAGATCTGGAACCCACCAAAAATTTTAGGCCTAGAGTTTGGGAAGATTAAATAAGAAGTGTATTTTTTTGACTATTTAATGAAATATGAGTTGGTTTGGGTTGGGTTTGAGTGATAATCTTAGAGAGGTGTATCGCGACTTAAATAAGATCCGGGATCGTGACATAATAATAGCCGATAGTGCCATTTTTTAATTTTTGTTCTTGTTTTGCAATCATTCCAAACACATTGGCGCTTCATTAATGCAGAAATGATATTGAAAGGACATGTTTTAAATCATGTCTAAACATTCAGATTATAATGTTATGAATATTTTGTTTTTTTGGTGAGGTCGGGCAAATTTCCAGGTTATTAGTTTTCTCGCTTCAGTAACGACACAGGACACCTTTGCAGATTGAATCTTA